TGACAGTTGATTCTGAAGGATCAATAACTTATAAAACGTTAAGTGCGTGATCAATCCCAAGAACGCACTAAAGGACGAAAGTCCATGATTTTGATGCGGGCGGCGGGTTCAGTCGAATATTCACAGTTTCCTCATTCGTCATGACTCCTTGTCAGCACCCGCGTCACTCGCTTCAACAACGGGCTGTCCGCTGTTTTGCTCAACCGTCAACCCTTCCATGTCTATCCATCAATTAATTCGTTCAAAGACCATTGAATCGCTTTCCGGACTTTCGAAGGATTGATTCATAATTCCGATAAAAATTAACAAACTACTAATTTTGTGAAATTTCAAAACGTGAAATTTCACTTTCCATCTCCGCCCGTGTAATTTTTGTCTAGATTTTCGATAAATTGAAAATAAAACGGTTGACGTAATTTATGGACGGCCCCTATAGACGAAGAATACAAAAGGGATATGGAGAGATCCCTGGTGCGGAAGCGGGTGGTTGCAATGGACAAAGGAGGCAGGTAATAGACTAATAGCAACCCACGGAAGACACAGAGACACTATAGTTAGATCATCATTTCTCCCTTAGTCTATAGGAACTACCCATTTCAACGAATCGGTTCGCTCCATAATCCCTATGTCTTCTTTGTCTATCGCTTCGTCTATCAATTTAAACAATCAGCCCGCAGAGGGGTTGACTATTGCCCCCCCCCCCCCCCCCCTACTGCGTGCCGGAGCTTTCGGTCGTCCAATGAGCTTCGCGTCGCGGCTGCTGCACGTGAGTGCATATTTGTTGTTGCCAGACTCACTTAAATACGATAAGTCATAACCTGCTCAAAACTAAAATACGAGGGCCGTCCTCCAATGACGTCCGGCAATTTCTCAGACTTCTGACACCCCCGTCTGCCCCCAGCATGACAAACACCTCTTATGTAGTTTCTAGTCACAGCATACCAACTTTAATCAGAAGTCATGGTGTCTCTTCTTGTTCGTGAAATCTGCATTTTGCAATAAGGAACTGCACAGTTACTTGCTCATCCATAAAAACACCTATCTGCATAGGAAAACTTATGGCACATATCCTCTTTCTAGGATGAGTCACACATTATAGTTCCTAATTGCAAAATGTAGTCCATTCTCTGTAGGAAGTGATCTCCTCCCTGCTTGAAAACTCGCTCTTGCCGGAGCCGAATTTGTATAGTAAACAATTCGTAATTTTTAGTATAAAAAGGAAATTTTTTAGCGTTTACTAGAAAGGAACCAATCCCCATCAGTTATTGCCGAATTTAACTGGGCAATTTAATTTCTTACAAGAGAACGTTTTTGCGGGTTCCTTTGAAACTTTTCAGGGATTTGCTTCGCGCCATGCAGAAAATGCTCTGAAGTTTGCACAAAAATCCGTACAACCGTTTTCATTTTAAAAAGTAAATTGCGTGATTAAGTGTGGCAGTAGCTGATGTAACTAGGTTCCTCTCTGCTAAACGCGTTTCAAATTTCCGATATCACTCAAAAATCATACACGAAGAAAAAAAACTTCGTGCGTGGGACCCGAAGTTCAGGTCATATGGATCTCTGAAGTTTTCGGATTGAGCATTCGAGCACTTAAGGTCCAGCTGCTGAGGTTTGGATCACACATCTGAAACTTCAGTTCTTACGTCTGAAGTACTTCGGTTTTCACATCTGAAGAACTTCGGTTCTCACTTCCGAAAAACTTCGGTTCTCACATCTGGAAGTACTTCAGATGTAAGAACCGAAGTTTCAGATGTGTGATCCGAACCTCGACAGCTAGACCTTAAGTGTTCGGATGCTCAATCTGAAAATTTCAGGGATCCATACGACCTAAACTTCGGGTCCCACGCACGAGGTTTTTTTCTCCGTGTACATTTTGGGAAGCCCTAAACAATTTCAGGGTCCTTAATCTGAAATAAGGCCGGAAAAATGGCAGCGGGGGCCATCGGTCATGACGCTGTGTCCGCTCTGTGTGAGCGCTCCTCTCCTCCCGGTTCACACTACTACCACCGCATCGTTGGGCTCTGCCAGACATCCATACATAGAGTTGATTAATAGACCCACCACGTACCACCACATGGATCTCGCCGATGCGCACATAAACACACACACGTGCTCACATTCCCCGCTGTCGTGCAGTAAGCTCTGAGCCCTTTTTAAGGGGCACGAAGTCAACAAAACGAACGTAAACAGGACCTGGAGATCGTGTTTGTATACCCTCACGAAGAGTGTCATTTTTCGGTTAGCTCCTTGGTGCGGCTTCCTTCAGCCACACACAATTTCACTTTTGACCATATCCGTCGCATAGTCATGTTCCCATCGCGGGATGATCGTAAACCCGGTCCGCAGACTGATTGTTGAAATGATCGACAAAGCTATAGATAAAGACGACGAAAGAGATATGGATGGATCCTATTGGTGGAAGCGGGCGGTTGCAATGGACGAAGAAGGTAGAGAATAAATTAACTAACGGCAACCCACGAGAGACTCTCAGTTAGTCCACCATTTACCCCCGTAATCTATAAGAACCACCCATTTCAACCAATAGGATCGCTCCATACTCATTGTGTATTCTTCGTCTATAGCTTCGTTTATCAATTTCGGAAAGTAGCCCGCTGCCCTTGGAGAACGACAGTTTCAATCGGACGGTACCCAAAATCCTAAATGGACCGCATTTAGAAGAAAGGAACCAAACCACATCAACTATTGCCAAATTTAATCGGGCAATTTACTTTTTTACCTACATGAAAACGGTTGGACGGATTTTTGCGCAAATTTCAGTGAATTTTCTGCATTATACAAAGTTAATTCCTTAAAATTGTCAAAGGAATCTGCATAAACGTCCTCTTGTAAAGAATTAAATAGTCCAGTTTTTGGCAAAAGCTGATGTGACTTGGTTTCTTTCTGTTAATCGCGGTCCAAATTCCACTCCTCTGGCGTGAGGGCGTATCTCGATTTCCGCATGAACCCCAGACAGCATGGATTCTTATGTAAAACAGGGCTAACCGGGAAATTGAGGTATGCCCATGCGTTTGAGAGGCGATGAAATATCCATAAGCGGGAATCCAAAAAAGTGGGAAATGCATAGTCCAAAGGCGCAACCGGTGACAGTCGAGTCTCCCCAAAAGCGCCAATACCTTAATAAGGGAAAACTCGAGGAGAAAAATGTACATGATTTCCGTCAACGCCTCGCCTAGGACTTTATGCGAGGAACTTGAGGCCGGCTCCCCTTAAGTACCTCGTCATTGATTCGTTTTTTTTATGAACCCGATCTCCTGGTGCTCCGATTCGATGACCCTAGGGCAATCAGCAACGCTAGACATTTTTTCTTACAAGCCTTGGTTCCTGCCTCGTCGGGTTCTGAACTGACCGTATAGGTTGATGTACTTTTCTGAATGGAATTTTTCAATTTTCCCGCGAAAAGAAATTTGCCGGGACGTGCGCTCGAGAATTTCCTCCCGCAGCATCCATGAATTCACTCTATCCAGAGTTGCCACAGTCAGTGAATACCGGGAAATGCCAGGGAATTTTACCCGGTAAACCTGGAAATGTCAGGAAAAATGACGAAAGTGTCAGGAAAAATGACGAAAATGTCAGGGAAAAACTGTCAAGTCACCTTTATTCGCTTTCTCGAGTGGGTTTGACGATTCGAACAACTTATATCTGACCACTATTTCTAACTACATATGTCTTTGACAATCTGGCATTTGTTAAATTGTCAGGGAATTTCACCAAAATGTATCAGGGAATTAAATTCTCCAAATCCTGTAGCAACCCTGTCTACTGTATTCGCCGTTCTTGGCTCAGCAAGTGTAGGGTTTTCAGGAGGGCCTTAATTTCAGGAGAGCAATGCTGTATTACAAATAATCAATTAAAGCATTTTTCAGAAAATTGACTATGTCGTGAAAAAAATCTGTAATAGTTTACCTCGTCGGCACAATAGGCAACGACGCTGGAATTAAGACTCTTAGCCACGAATAATTGTGCAAAGGCATAGGGCATATGATATGATCATCTGATGTTGAACTTGATTTGTCGAGCAACTATTCATGTCTCAGAGATGTCTTGGTAGCTTAAACGAAGACTTGAGGTTGAGGATCTGTATCCTTTTTAGATCCTCACAGTACTGACCGCCGACGCGTCGGCGCCTGGAGAATCGAAACGCCTTCATTTCCGTGCGTATGCAACACGGGCATCCATGGAGCCCGAATAGTTGCATCCAGGCGCCGTAATAAATTCATTCAGTATTCGTCGCATTCGGGAGTAACTGGGGACGCTTTTCTTGTTTCTCACATTCCCGAATTTAATCCCAGCGTTGCCTAATGTGCCGATGAGAATTGATGACTAACGGTTTCAGAAAATTGACTGGTTTCAATTAATTCATGCACCATTCCAAACAATTGAATTCGATAGCCCCGAAGTTGCGACGCGGAGTTTGACATTTGAAAAGGTTACCTGGTGAATCATTAAGAGCGCCCTTTCGCTCTCGTCGAAAATAACGCATCGCATAACCCGCAGGCCATCCTAAGGTTGCCGAGACCGTGCTTTTGCAACCTTTGTCACTCATAACCATAGAGAAAAAAAAGGAGGTGTTTGCATCTTGAGGTTTGTTTACCCTGTGACGTAGGTCGGTACAACCTGGCCAGCGAAATCCGGAATTCAAAATATGAAAAACGGACCAAAATGTCCGATTTTTTTTTACTTAAATCAACTCATTATATAATTTCAAGCACTTTTTATAGAATGACTTTTTTCCTTAAATTACACAATTTCCAAGAAAATCGACAGGATAAACGTCGCTATACCGACCTACGTCATCAAATCATCAAAAAAATTCCAAGATGCCCGAAATGCAAACACCTCCTTTTTTTTCTCTATGACTCATAACTTTGTATTAAAACGAAAAACGGACGATACCGCGCATCTCTTTGCAAATCCCTATCCGGTCTCTTTCTCATTTTTTTTATGCCTTTTTGTAAAATGCGTTCTTATGTTTGTTTCAGTGCCGTCGGTAAAACATGCCTGCTAATCAGTTACACAACAAATGCCTTCCCAGGAGAATATATTCCAACAGTGTAAGTATTATTTGTGTAGACGAGTATTTTAATTTTCATCTCATTGTTGATGTCGCTAACAGAATGGAGAATTTGCTCGCAAATGTTCTTTTGCTTCATCTGAGAGTGCTCGAAGAGCTAATTTCGTAGTATTTGTTGAAAAAAAATTTCTGAGATAGGAAATAGTATAAAAATAGATTTAAAAGTGAGAAAATGCATCACATAGTGACGTCATGTGGCAGTATTTCCCATTTAAGCACATGTATTTTAGCCGGTTAGATTATTTTGTCACATTTCCTCTAATAATTGTTCACTTTATGAACCAAGGGTATATTCGTGTTCAGTTCACTCCACTCAGTAGCTTCTACTGAAGCACGAAATTCATCGAATTCTAGACACCTCCAAATTCTCCATCGCATATTTCTTTTTTGCAGAACGTAGCATATCTCTTTGTCAGCTTCAGTTTCTCTTGAGTCTTTCGGGAAATAAGTACCGGATTGGAGGAATGATGATTTTTGTATCGCTGAGCCCTCCCCCCCCCCCCCCNAAAAAAAAAAAGAAAAATCGGCGCACTTTTCTCATTTTTTGCTTTTAAAGAAGAATCCTCACGAGCTCCGACCGCTCGCTTTGTTGAGAGTGAAGGAAGCAGTGGCGTGGCGTGCTTTGCGATATATCGATTGATCTGCCATTTAAACCTATGGGAAAAGATCGATAAACAGGGTGTTCGCAACGAACTCCTCAATATTCGATTCTTTACCATAGCTTCAATTGGGGAAATATCGATAATCGATCATTCACACCTGGCCACTGGAAGGAAGTTCACCCAGGGGCCAGTCTCAAGAATGATATGTAACGCTCTACAGAGCAGGAGAGGTGTCGTGTCGGCCGCTGGCGTTACGGATGCGTCACAGAGGGCATGAGGTAGTCCAAGGTTACGTTACTAAACGCTGAATTTGGATCTTAGGATTGACGATGATACATAAACGCGGGGTAACACTTTCATCCAATATTCACCCCCAAAACGCCGATTTGAGCGGGAGGGGGTGAACTGAACGTTGCATAATTTTGTTTGGAGGGGATGTAGATCTGTATCATAGGAAAGAGTAAGTAGGAGTCAAAAACATATCTAATTTTCAGTCTTACATACCTCTTTTGAAAACGACTCCTTACTCAATTAAGCCTGTAACTACCAGTTAAAATTAGCGACCCCTATACTAGCTGCGCTCGTTTCAATCCATACAGAAACTTAAGTATCTTCTCTTCTATTTAGCCATGTCATTGCAAAATCATTTAATTCTTATGAATTAAAAAATGTAGGAGTGACGAATAGTTTTTTGTTTTGGTTCTTGATAACAAATGTATACACTTTTTCAATTTCAGACCATCATGTTAATTACTTCCATTGACATTTAGAACCTTTTTTTTATTTTGCTCCAGCATTTTGGAACATTTTTTAATTTATTGTTCCTTGTTTTTCATATTTTCCCCCTTTCTTTCTTTGTAGCTTTGACAATTATTCTGCAAATGTCATGGTAGATGGCAAACCAATCAATCTAGGACTCTGGGATACTGCAGGTCAAGAAGATTACGACAGATTGCGGCCTCTTTCTTACCCACAGACAGTAAGTTTGTTTTAGATTTTAACCTGCTTTGAGTCACCTTTATTACTGTATCTCCCCTTAAAACTGCATCTTGACCAATCAATTTGTAGTATCAAGCCATCAGGAACCGTCAATAAATTACGACATTTTTCAAGCTTGTTTTTGAAGGGAGGAAAACAAGCTGACATTGAGTGCTACTCTTTTTGACACAAATTTAAGTACCTATAGCTTTGATTTTTCAGATATTAAGTAATTTTTGATTCATCATATGTATTCATCTAGTGAGTACAGCAGCTGTATTTTTCAATTTGCTACTTCTCTTGTCTTGTCGCATCATGATTCAGAGCTAAAATCAGATAAATTGGCATACCCTTACTTTACTTTTTTTGTTTCTTCATCTAATCCAAAGAAGAAATAAAATCAATGTACTCTTCACCGAACTCCGATTTAAAATTTCCCAGATACTTAGCCTATAATGTGTTCCTTTCTCTCTTGTTTTCAGGACGTTTTCCTGATATGCTTTTCACTAGTTAATCCAGCATCATTTGAAAATGTTAGAGCTAAAGTAAGTATTTTACATTTTTCTAGTTCTATTTAATTGAAATGTAAAATATGTACCCGGACAAAATATTCCAACAAGCGATTTTGAGTTAAAAATCGTGTTCAAGTCAATAGTTTTACCGTATGATCAGAATTTGTATCATTTCCTGAATGAAGTGTCTAGGAATTTTGATGGATCACCAGACGGATTAAAAGGTTAAGAACCTCAGTTTATGTTACCCCATTGAAATTTGATTTAGAATCACATTTATTTTATAAATTTCCAAATTCAATTTATAAGTTAGAAAAAACCGGTTTTCTCAACCTTAATTCATACTCACCAAAATTGGTGTCTACTCAAGTCTAATGGAACAATAAAGTAATTTTAGTATATCTTACAATAAATGAATTTTCCTATGTACTCGATAATATGCTTATAACTGCACTTTTCTTTTTCATAATGACTTACAAAGGATAAAATACATTTTATTGTTTGGCCTTCACCTCCCAATTAATTTTTAAAACAATTTCTAAATTTTTTCCACCAGTGGTATCCAGAAGTACGGCATCACAGTCCTACAAAACCAATCATACTGGTCGGCACAAAGCTGGATCTACGTGAGGACAAAGAAACGATAGAGAAATTGAAGGAAAAGAAACTTGCACCTATTCAATACCCACAGGTAATAAAATTTTAATTTTAATTTTTTAAACTTAAGTCAATCATTTATTTCTTAAATTACAAGTTGCGTGGTCAAAGCATGTCAAATGGTTCTATCTCGTAGATTTTGATTCTCGTTTCTAACTTGAGAATTTTTGAAACATCTTGGTGGGGATTTGGATTTGACAAAGGAAATATTGATAAAAGAAATGCTTTTCATCTCACTACCATACTGCTGCTCTATATCATGTAATTTACTTCTCATGCATGCAGGAAATCCAATCTTCTTGATGATACATTAAAAAATTTGGACGATAAAAATAAGGAAAGAATAGTGAAAAACGTATGCTATTATAAGTGTGCACATATTGCTCACTGATCTAAGAGACCAGGTAAACCTAGACACATCTGAACAATACATTCCATCATTCCCTGAGCGAAAAAACGAAAAAATTACCCAGCGCTTCAATATTTTCTCTTGAAAATTATACTTTTATGACGAAACTGTCAGGCATTTTCAACTAAAAACTTCATGGACTCTTCTTTTGATAACAAGCAAAAAGTAGCAAAATTTTCGACGGTCATTGCGCAGCCATACTCTTGGAAAAATTTAAATTGTTTGAGTCAATTTTCTAGCCCTGCAATGATTTTATCTCAAATTTGGTGGCCCAAAATCCAGGAAGGTGCAAAGATGATTTGCTCTATTGTTTTTCCCGAAGCTTTTTTCATAGCCTCCTGAGTATGGATGTACTACCCTCACTTTGAAAGCAGTCAGGAACTCTCAGTTCTTTTAAACTTAAAACATTTATTTAGTGACTTTTGAAGATGAGGCCGAAACCATGTTAAGGTCTCTTTTAATGTAGATTCACATTAACTTCTGGATTCGACCCCTGTCAGAAAAAATTCGTAGATTCTGTCTAATCTTAATTGCTGAGAATTGAATTTCTTAATGCAGTTCATGCTCACTTATTCGAAATCCTTTAATTTAAAATCCTGAAAAAAAGCCAATCTCCAAGTAAGAATTCCCATGTTTTAGGAAAAAAAACCATCCATTTATTTATTTTCCCCTTGTCAGTTTAAAAATTTCTAAATCCTAATCAGCTCTTTAATTCAAAATGGTGTTATCATGACTCAGCGTAATTCAAAACTAGAATTACTTCCTCTAAAGTTCCATTTGGCCGAGTTGTACACTCTGTTTTATTGGTAAAGTTTTGATGGTTTTGTTTTTATGAAGATAAGCAAGTTTTTTAATTCCACAGAAACCAGGACTGTAGTCGTATTTTATTTCTTCTTTTTTTTTCTTCCAAGTCTCTGAAGGTACATGGTAGGTGTGAGTAACCTTGAAAGTACCTAGAAGATGTTCTTCTAAATTTAAGGTATAATTCTTGGCAATTACAATTTTTATATAATATTTAAATCACAGTTTTATGGCCATTAAGAGTGCGTCAGAACTCCCCCATCTAATGTGCCCCTGATCTCAGCTGTTTTGAGAAATCATTTGGACTTAGATACAGCCAGCTGTAGACTTGTCCCAAGGTGATTATTGAGAGTAGAGGGCGTTAAAGTAAACTGTATCAGCTGATCCATAGGTAAGGGCGCAATTTCTGAGATGGCTCTTGTAGTTTGTCCAGAGGTTATGCTACGAGTTGATGGGTGCACTTTGGGAGGAATGTTCTTGTGGTAAAAATCCCAGAATGACCTTGAAAATCTTGCAGAAATGTTCTTCAAAGTCCTTGTATTTTTATTTGAAGTCATCGAAACACTTAGCAAAAATCCTTGAAAGTAATCGATCTTTATTTTATCCTGGCTACATAAATCTTAATATTTCTTACTGTCTGTACTAAAGGATGGCATACAACTTTACAGCAGTACAAAAGATGCAGTTTAGCTAATTGGAAGTCACTTTGTCACTGTCCTGAATAAACTGTCCCAGTGAGGTAATCAAGCCTTTTGTGTTTAAAATCTTCTCACTTGATATGAAAATAATGTAATTTTATCAATTTCATTATCTGATCTTACATTATTTTTTCATCCTTTCAGGGTCTATCCATGGCAAAAGAAATTAAGTCTGTCAAGTACCTTGAATGCAGTGCTTTAACGCAAAAAGGTCTTAAAACAGTTTTTGACGAGGCAATCCGAGCTGTGTTAGTTCCTCCACCTCCGATGAAAAAGCAGAAGCCATGTGTGCTTCTGTAACAAAAATCTTCTCGTTAAACATCCTGCATCCCGCCTCTCCTTTACTTAATTGTACATTTTCTCTTTTTTCCACTTATTACTCTTGCTCTCCGCTTTGAACTAGATTATAATTTTGTAACAAATTGTTGTTTATACAAATCTGAAAATTTTGTCTCCTGAATTTTCCTAATTTTGACCATCAATTCCTGAGCATTGAATTTTTAAACTTGGACTTACTAATTTTGTCATTATTCACCATTGGCGGAATGCTCACCTAATCAATGTTCAAAGTAGTAAACAAAGTGTGCTGTCGCCTCACACAAAGAGTCTAGCAAAGTATATAAGTTGCCTGTATGCATGAATATTAAGGGTGCTGTGCAATATCAGCTAAGCAAAGATGAACCAACTGCTTAACTGAAATTTCACAATATTTTCAGAAATGAACCTCATGAAATTCATTAGAAATACATGTTCACTGCAATGAGACGGAATTGATCTTATTAAGCAACTTAAAGTCAAAAATAGTGAAGGATATGATGGGTCAAGGACAAAAGTGTCGTTTCTCTGTTATTTCATTACAATGTTATACATATATATATATTTTTTAATTTTACTATTCCATTTGCTGGCAATGCATTTTTTATTGTTAAACCCATTCTTCTGGGACCCGGGCCTCAATCTTTTACACGACCCCTGATGGTTTGAATGATTTTATTTTCTCCACTTAAAATTGAGTGTATAAAGGCAAGTGGTTAAAGGTTGCTGAAAGTGAGCTTAAGGCTCATCCTCATCATAAGCACTTTTTTGCTTATTTATTATTTATTTTCAAGGAAGAGAAGGATATGTATATAGGGCCCGCTTTGCAATGGAAAGAACTTAAAACCCTTTATTCTAATGTTTTGAAAGACCTTCACAAGAGAATTTGAGACTATTATGAGGTGTGCCAGTTAAGATTTAATAATCTTCAGAAACACATTTTTTCGTACAATTTCTCTTTAAAAACCAATATTATTCTTGCATACAACATTTTCTAATCGCCCCCTCAACTGCTAGTATTAACTGAAATAATAGCTTTCACTAAACTACAGCTCTCTTTCTTGAAATGTGTGAAAGAAGCTCATATCAACACGAAAATGTGAATCAATCTTTTTATATCTGACTGATTTTTTTATTCATTTCTGCACAATTTTAAAATCATAACTGTCGGATGACCTAAGCATACTGTATCAACCTGCAATCCATTCCAATGCAATAGCCGCCATTTATGCCTCCATCAGCTATTCATTGATGGAAGGACAACCAGGATCTCTCTTTAAAATAATTTCTTTTTGCTCTTGACAAAAACCAAGCAATGAGGGCCACAGTCTGAAGTGAAGAGCTTTACTTTATGTACAAAAAAAATCATCTTTACTTTATGGTTTATTAGAATATCAATTCTTGAAGTTGAAAGGAGGGTTCAAATTATGTATTGCTTCCACAAGGTTTTAGGTTTGAAATCTGGTCAGCAAGAAAAAAAGAATAAACTTGGCTGATATTTGTCCATAGAGAACGTTTATGAATTAAGCAACGCACTTTTTTCGCATTTTCGACTACCCGTCCTTCCTTGTATCACTCTTGTGACGCTGGTCCCTATTTTTCAACATACAAAAACAAAATAGCCTAAAGTCCTCCCAGAATCCCCTCCCCCTTTAGAGCGTTATGTAATGTATGAACACGGAATGGTCTATTTTTCTCCAATGGACCATTAGACAGGGTACAAGATAATGAACCACAACATGAACTTCCTCATCAAAATTTTCTGTAGAACACTATAGGCACACTGAAAGTTTCCTAATTCAGCTCATAAGGTTGAAAATTACGGTTTTTGTCAAAGTTAAGTCACACTTTCGCTCGCAGAAAAAGAAGCGTCCTTTGGAGTCAAATCGAGCACTGAAGTAATTTTGGTATATTTTACGATGAAAGATTTTCGTGTATTCTAACTTCTTTTTCATAAAGTTAAAGATACCTGACATCAGTAGGTAAGGAAATGGGTGTGAAACCAAGCTCTAGTTCTTTGATGAACATGTAGGTTGATTTCAATGTGTGATAAGGCCTACATTGGTTATGGTTTTTCCTAAGCTGAAAGTTTGAATTTATCTTGTTTACAATGTAAAATACAAATGTTTATCTCTCATTTATGAGTTAATTTTGAATGTTTTCAACATGTTTTACATGAAATTCTGTTGAGGAAACATCCGCTGTTTTGCTTAATGTCCTATCCTGTCCAGAGGCGATTCTTGAAAGTTGGCAGTACTGTTTTTCCTCTGTTTGATTGTGCTTAAAACAATTGATTCTTAGTGAGGCAGCTTGCCTCACCTAAATCGATAGTTTTAATGGATTTCAAAAGAGCAAAAACAGTGTTACCAACTTGTAAAAGGCCACTGCCCCGTCTAGAGGTCCATCAATGATGCTGACATATTCCATCTCTTTGTTAATCTCCTATTTCCCTTCGTAGTTAAATTTTCCATGGTAATTTGTAATTGATGTTTAAGGATTGTAAAGTATCATTATGTTACAACACAGAAAATAGTTATGGACTTTTGATAGTTATTCATTCACTGTAAGGCTCTAACTTTTAAGCTAGGAGATTGTTGTTACATATTGTATTTTAAATTAATGGTTTTTAATCACTTAGTTTAACAATTTTGCTGTCGATAAATGGGAGGAATTTTGTGACAGTTAGTTTAAAAAAAATTCTGAGAGTATCCCTTTGTGGAAGAGGGGTATTACGAAGGACTTTTTTTGGATCTTGCCTGAAATCTAGAAATTTCTGCAAGTCGTAAGTTAAACTGCACATTTTTTAAATAGAAGTAATAGATGTTTGCCAATACCTACCATTAGGCTGTCCAAACATCCGCCTGAAGGAAAAACGGAAAAGCATGTCCAACATGCTGATGTTTAATTTTCACTGGGCTCATTAAGAATAACTTTGCTTGACTTTTAACATTTGCAGGATTGCTTCTTTTCTAGGAAAGTCCAAAATCAGCCCCTATTTATTTCTTCAACAATTGCACCCTATTACTAGTGTTAGCTGCTTCCAAATTGCAAATCTAAGTTCCTCTGTTGTGGTACCTCATCATTTATTGAAGTCATAGTTCTTTTTTTTAATGTATAGCAGAAGTGCAGTAAAACTGGTAAAAGATTTGTGCTAATACTTAAATTGTAACAATCATGTTCATATATATGGCCTGATCTTGACTTGATGTGTTGTCTTTAACATAAAAGAACCGTAACTTAAAAACCATTAACCTACAAAAAAAAAAAAACACACAGTAATATCCTCCTTCATGGATTTGCCTACCTAAATCTAGGATATGAATTGTTTTACTATTTTAAATTTACTGCACCGTATTCCCTCACTGTGGAGAGTACTCCATTTAAATTATTGACAACACTGTTAGCACACAAAGACATGTGGCAACCTCAAGCAATCAGCTGATGGAGTGATTAGGAATTGTCATCTATTACCCTTACATAACATAAACAAGATCATAACCTCGTTCCTTGTTAATTGTTTAACTTTCTGGGTGGAGTTAGCTCGGATTAAACTTGGTAAACTTTGGTAAAACTTGGTCTCCTTAGTACGAGTGCGTTAAGTTTCAATACTTCCTTAATTTATATCACTGCGAAGGTGAACATTGAGCATTCTTCTTTTAAGTCCTTTAATTTTGTGTAAATACCTACTCTCCTTTTTCCTAGCAAGCATAATGCATCTCCAAGCATTTCATCATTATTTGCATGTAGCTTTAGCTTCTAGAACCAAATATAAATTGATGACTTGTGCAAACATCTTTAAAAGAAACTTTAGTTCTAAACCAGGTCCGCTAAAGCATCCTGTAGCACTTCTCGACCAATCACTAATATCGCGTTTGCCAGTCTCATGTATAACTCTTTTCGAGGCTAAGAAGAAGAAAAATTTGACCTTTGAAGCTATTGCCAAGAAACTTAACCGTGATGAGGTAGCTGTTGCCGCACTGTTCTATGGACAAGCAAAAGCAAACGAAGAAGATGTAAAAGAACTCTCAAATTTACTTGATGTTGACTACTCCCTTCTTTGCCAACAGTTGTATCAATGGCCAGATCGAGGTCGATTACTAGATATGCCACCAAAGGACCCACTGATCTATCGTTTTTATGAGATTATACAAAATTACGGTTATGCTTATAAAGCAATTTTGAATGAAAAGTTTGGAGATGGTATCATGAGTGCAGTTACATTCTCAACCCATGTGGAGAAAGAAACTGATGAGAAGGGTGACTGGGTTAAGATTACATGGAGAGGGAAGTGGTTACCATTTTCAAGGTTTTGAGTACATACCTACTTAACAGCAATAGGAGTGATAGGTGTGTCTCCTTTGGCACAAACATTAAGTGTAACGCAAGTTTGATGTACCATGTACAAAATATATATTCATCAGAAAACATTCCTTAATTAATCTTTTGTGAAATTGTGGTAGGTATTGTAACTTTAATTATGTTTCTTAGATATATCAATATGAGTTTAGTTAATAGGGCTGAACTCCTACTCCAGCCACAGCTTGCTCAGTATTTTAGCATTCAGTCAAAACAGGAGACAAATACCAGAAAACTTGCTGATTGAGCAATTTTAAACAAAGTCAAAAAGAGTTATATCAGAGCTGAAATTTATTTTACTCATTGTCTGGAAAATTTCGTTAGATACGCATCTTTTCTTATATGAAATGTAGGGACCATATAAAAAATTCTGAAAGTTAGGTCTGGGGGAAGATTTGTAAGTGAAAGTAGTTTTGATGTGTCAAATACTAATTTTTATGAAAGGAGCAGTATATCTAAGTTGGTTTCCAAGGTATTTTAGATACAACATAAATAAAGGCACAAGTAAAATTAGCCTTTCAGCCGGAAGGTAGTTCACCACAATTTAAAACAAGCTTTTTCTGCCATATAGTGGCATACCTTTCAGCGGTGTACATTTTACCGGCTTTGAACATTCTTCAAATGTAAAAACACTATTTTATCAATCGTCACTGGCAGATGTATTGCTTTGTTCTTAATTAGCTTCAAATCCACATCGCATTTTTTTATCAACAGTCCTATGCCTGTTATTTCTCAGTTTCCGAAAATATTTATTTGTCTATCCTCTCTTCCATTTTTTTAAAAATATGTATTATTTTGTCTAAATGTCTTTCAGTGCCAACATTTTTTTGTATATCCAAAGAGAATTTCAATGTATTTTCTCTTCAATCTTTCACACATTATTACTTCTGAAGTCACAGGAGCTTTGCCTAAGCACTCTAAAAAGTTAGCATTTTTAAGCAAATAAAAGCTAATAAAAATTGTCCTTATTTTTCTCAGTTGAACACACTTTTTACAGGTTCCAGCGTGAATTTAAAACTCTACCGCTGATAAAACATGATGCTATCATCTAATCAACTTGACTGAATTAATAATTTTTTTTATTAATAATGTCTTTTTGTAGAACAATTAAATAGTTTCCTCCTTTGTGTCTGATCTGACCATCTTACGAAATGATTCTTTATCATTTACTCTCAAACGTAAAAATTTTGATGGAGCATCATGCACAATCATTTATATGTATTTACTTTTCATCTCCTCATTCACGAGATACCATTTTTTTCTTGTGTTCCGACATTACAACTCATATTAAAGCACATTGGAGTCATCAATAACAGTAATAGCCACTTAATGATTTACAGCAAGATCTGCTTTCTATCAGTTTTCATTCTTTATTTATTCAACAAACTATCCAAAGAGTTGAAATGTATTTTGTAGATGGCCCATCAAAAAGTATTTGGAGATGAGATTTTTTGATCGATAGTTAAAGTTTTTGATAATTGCAACTGTGGGAGACATTGTTGGGTTTTAAGTGACAGAAGATGAAGGAGGTGCAAATGTATGTTTTTGAGAATCACAGTTGATGCAATTCTTAATCTGATTTTTTCACAGATGTTCAAGCTTTTTCACTGAAATATTCTTTACCAACAACTTTAATAACATTATGAGTACTGAAGGACATGTTAGCTTAAAACAGTGTAAGTTACGTAACGCACAATCATCTATTTGTAAATAATGTTTATGTATTAAAAGATTATTCAATCCATGATTATTCTTCCCTTTTGGCATTGTAAATTAATCTAGCTTAATTGTTAACTCTTAAACATTATGTTGGATGTTAAGTTGAATGTGTAAGTGTTGTCCATTTATACAAAAGAAACTGTCATCCTCTTACAGAAATGGATCTGTCAACTTTTCTTTTTTCTAATAGCTGATAGATATGTTTATCGGTGAATTTAGTAAAATTCTGTAATTGAAAAAATACTTGGCATAAAAGTGCACAGATAAGATGGTATGATCATAGTCTAAATGATGTACAAAGGAAAAACTGTTTGAAGTGTATTCTAAGAAAAAATTGATGCTTTGTGTATATATTATCTGCTCCTCTCCAAAGGAGACCCCGAAATCAAAGTAACTCAACTTCAAAGTATTTTAGACTTGAACTAGTTCATTCACTTGCATTAGTGCACCTTCAATTATCTGAAACATGCAGTAGTATGATGATAAAAGTTTTTAGGATTTCAGAAAGAGGAGATTAAGTTGTTGTCAACCTTTTCCTATTCTTCCATCCCTAGTTCTGTATGCATTGAGATTAAAATCTTCACCAAGGTCATTATAGGTTTCTAAATTTTGACCTTATTTTTTAACAAACGAAAATGACCAAGTCCCATCCCGACATTCTTTGTCAACTTTGTTGTTCGCTTTAAGGAGCAGTAAAATTGTGTCAATAAATTCAAGATTAATGAGTGTAAAAATCAATCTTACCTCCAGGAACTTTGGGATATTATTGTTGCTTTTTTAAGTATTGTAAGCTTTTTAGCTGTTAAATGTTTCTACTTTTTTATTTTCTTAAGTCACGATTCCTGTCATAACGAGTTCAACCGTTTTTTTTCTAAATGGCAAGCAAAAATGTAGGGGTTATAGTGTTAGACCTCTCTCTGTGACTCTCGAGTCAACCTTCTTCACTCAATTTTTACCTCCTGCTTTTTTTCTAAACCAACTTTCAGCGGATATTTGTAATCAGATTTTTTTCTTAATTTTCTAAGAAACAAAAACCTAGCCATTTACACTTTTCATAAGAGAATAAAGCCTTAATTAATTAATGAATAACACAAGTTTTGTCACTCTTTTTTACGGATGGAATGAAGCCATTTTTACATTACATTTTGTTTACCTATCACTTAAAAATGCACATAAATCAATGAGCAGGAAAAACTAGCAAAATACTCAATTCAAATCTCGGACGAAAAGCTATGAAGTTTCTCAGAGGTGAAGGGTTCAGTACTGATAGAGGTGATAAACTTGGAGTGGACGACCCATCCTTCACGTCTGATAGAGATGACATATCGTGACGTACAGGGCTTCCCAACTGCAGCAGATTATTACCTAAGGAAATCGAATCCAGCAAAATACCATCCTCATGACGTCGGTTCGTGATCGTGAATCCCAAGTGGTTGGAGTCGCGGAAGCGCGGAAGCTTCGCTCCGCCGTGTTCTTCGTTGCCGACGGCTGTGAGCAGTGCTCAGTAGCCAAAACGCGTTATGTCGTGGATAGGTAGTGCGCCCTTCAGAGTGGATGTCAACCGTTTGATATGAAAGTGTTGCAAATGAAGGACCACCGTTTTCGTGTCCTGGTTAATTGTTTTCCCATTCTAGAGCCGTCAGTTGTCTCAAGGCCTAGTCTAGTCTTACGCTGTCTCTTCTCTCAGTCCTATGTGAAACCCGACCATTCATGGCACGTTTAACCGGGAGAAATATCCCTTGTGGATTGAATGGTGTCGTAACCACGGTAATCTTCAGCCGCGAAATCGCGTTTCCAGCAGTACCATTTCTTAAGGGTATGGTCATATTTTGGATGCTCGCTTCTGGGCGAAACCCCGGCCTAACTGCCAAAGCTGAAAGTGTTGTGAACGTGTCATTCACTACCAGCACCACTGACTTTCCCAACCCCGAACGCGGTTTCTATCGAGCTATTTGGTCCACTAACTTGGACTCATTCACGCAAGAAGACGCCGACGATGCCTTCGCCGACGGATATCGCCTCGTCTACGCGCTCATCAATCTCGAACGTTTTAAAAATAAGAACGCGCTGCCTGACGGTTTTTTAAACGCTTTGAGAAATGGATTCGGTTATGCACGTGCCGCCGGTATCAAGATGATCACACGTTCAGTCTACAACTATCCGGATAGCGAAGTGAACTATGAGACCGCTGCGGACGCACCTTTGAAGCGGATCAAGGGGCATCTTTCGCAGTTGAAACCAGTCCTCCGAGACAACGCCGACGTGATTGCTGTCGTTCAGGCCGGCTTCATCGGAGCCTGGGGCGAGTGGCACACGTCTTCCAACGGTTTGGATACCGATGCCTCAGCCCGTGCCTCAGTCAAGAACAGTTTAATGGACAACATACCCCCATCGCGTTTCGTTCAGTTCCGCAACCCACGCCACATTCAAAAATGGGTAGCAGATCCACCCACCGTGGACGCAGCTATCGCTCAAAATTTTCGTTTTGGTTTCCACAACGATTGTTTTCTCTCCAGCGATGACGACGTCGGGACGTATAGTGAAGAGAAGGAGCCCCGCGATAACGAACGGAATTACACGGACCGTTTAGGTGACGTTGGACCTTTCGGTGGTGAAACTTGCGACTCCACGTGGAGTTCGACAGCTGTCCGTCGAACCACCTGCTCGGACATCTTGAAGGAGGGCGCGATCTACAACCTCAGCTACCTTAACAGCCAGTATTGGCGACCGGAGTTCCATGAAATGTGGATAAAGAATGGCTGTATGCCCGAGGTTCGGCGACGATTGGGGTATCGCTTTGCTTTGCTCCAGGCATCGCACGAGGACACGGTCAGTCGGGGCGGGCTTTTGACGTTGTCTCTGGCCGTAAGCAATGGAGGATGGGCTCGATTATATAACGCTCGCTCGCTTCAAATTGTTCTTCAGAACGTCCGTTCAGATGCGACTCTGCGCCTTTCAACGTCCGGCGCAGATCCACGTCGGTGGGTACCAGGAACCAGCACTGTCCGCGTGAACGCCACGGTTCCTTCCGGATCACCCACCGGAAATTATCGTGTACTTTTAGCTCTCGCTGACCCTGAGCAAACTCTAAGCAGTGATCCGCGTTACTCAGTGCGTTTCGCGAATGACAATAATTCGTCCCTCAATCAGTATTGGGATTCCTCTCTCGGCGGTTTTGCTTTAGGGACGTTTATTCAGATCAAGTAGTCAGCTGCAGTGGGGAGTCCGCAAGTAGTCCCCCAAAAGCTTACCTATCTTTGAGAAGCCTATAGGGCTTCACCCAAAATAGAGTGCTTTTGGAATATTTTAAATAAAGGAAGTGAAATTTGATTTTTTTGGGAGGAAAAGGGGTACACATTTCCTGTCAGAATTTTAATCTATAAAATGATGTCCCATTTGCCCTACTTACATAAAAAGATAATTCTCCGTACCATCATACTAGATGATTTGAGGGGCTTTGAAGACAAGTGGGATAAGGGCAGTTTTTGAAAAAAATTATATATGCATGATTTAAACTAGTGCTAGTCTTAAATTATGTTCTATGAAAAATTCTTTTCTAAAATCCAATTTTCAAGCATCAAGAAGTGAGTTTGAACTTATTCTTTCCACCATAAGACTTCATGTACCTAACTTAAAAACTTCAAAAACGCATCCTTTGAAGTAGCAAAAACGGCTTTTATCCCACTTGTCTTCCAAGCCCCTCATTTAAGGATATCTAGGCACCCAAATTATTACCGACCGCCTGCTGTGTCACATACCTACTTGCTGTGTTGGGTTGGTACTTAAAATTTTGGTATGCGGACTGTGCAACTGCAAGACGTACCAATGAACTCTTTTAAGAGGTGCAATTTGCTTAAATTTTCTTGTTAGGGTTCCTAGGTTTCATCTTGACCTGCAAGATGTACTCTAAATCTGAATATTACATGCCTCTAAGTAGGTCCACCTGAGTGTAAGCAAGAACTAACTTTAGTTTTGTTTTCATGGAGAGAAAAAAGAAATTGTGAGATAAGTTAAACAAAAGAAAGAAGAAAAAAAGAGTGTATTCGTATTACACTGCTGAACTGCCAGTTTATTTTTTTATTTTTATTATTCACTTTCCTCTGTAATGTTTAATTACATTTCATCTATGTACATAGTTTTATTATGATGATTAAATGTAATTAAGTAATAAAATTAATTTACATTTACTCAGGCCGTTCATTTCGTTATTGTTTCAGTCTCAAACTGTCATCAGGCATTTTAAAAACTCTAAGGAACAAAATGAATATGGAGGGCTAACGACCATCATCACCTAACTGACAATTTTGGCAAAAAAGAGATACCAACTTTGCCGCATTCTACAGTATTGAATACGCAAGCTGATGGTTTTAGATTTTTTTCAATTCTGTGGGGGAACGCTTCAATGACGCTGCAATGTATGAAAACATTGCAAATCTAACCTTGAAATTACAAAAATAGCGAAGTTTTCTCTTCATTCTGCAAAATTGTCAGTTTGCAGATGGGTGTTATTGTTCGTTAGCCATCTCTACGTAATTACACGCTCTATCCTTGATCACAATATTTACATACTTGGATGATACTCAGATAAATTTTTTTCCTAAGACAGAAAAACGTATACTTAAAGATTCGCTTTTGCCCTAAACATCGGCTCCTTTCTTATTCTTTCGCATTACTTTTTTAGCTCTTTGTTGTCCTTTTATAATCCTAAATCACTCTTTAAAACCTTTCTGAGACTTCTTTTCAATACAAAAAAATCATTTAGAACAAATAAATTCAGCCTGTATACTCAGGCAGCCTCAAATATTTGCAAGTTAAAGCTATGGAATTAACTAATTTTTATTGCAATTGCATAAACTTAGCAGGATTTACAAATAGGCATCCAAAGAGAGAAACTGCTAGAAAAGTTAGGCAGTAAAAATTCGATTTTTAGAACCAATGCATATTTCCTGGGTGTCCCATTACTTGAAGGCTCAGATATTATATTAAAAATTGGCATTTATTTGCTGGATGATGGTTGAAATTGAATAAAGAGACAATTTTACCACAAATAAATAGGATTGTATATTTACAAAAAAAAATTGTTACATAAAATCAAATAGGTACACATATACCAAAACAGTAAGCAATAAAAGACGATTACAGTCTATGAACACATGGTTCTTGAGATGGTCTGAGAGCAGTGCCTATTTAATGAGCTTCCAGGTGGTCTGAAATCCAATACAAAATCCTGTGATTTCATTCTGTTTTTTACAAGTTTAACTAAGATTTTCAGATGAGGAATACTGAGAATGATTTTTTCCTGTCAATTAATTTTTAAAGTGTATAGACCATACATAATACCAAATGAAAAAACCTGAGCAACCTAAATAACACGTCAAGTAAAAATACATTCATTGGAACAGCAGGGAAAAGGCTTTGATTTTAAGAATATGAAACAACCATGACCAACATTCACTGACCCTTGACACTGGAAAACCATTCAAAAGTGACTGTAAGTTAAAATGGAATTAGATACTGATTTTATGCCGAATGATACAACTTTAAGTGTTACCTACAAAAATATCTTTAAAAGTTCAAATCAATGTAAAAGCATATCTCTGAAATGATGGCTGAAGAATTGCCTTCAAGAACATTAGATTACATAACAATATCAGATTACATACATTAAGTACACATACGCACCCATGTTAATTTCGAATTTAGCTAATGAAGAAAAAGAGTAATTACACCTAAAAACTGAAAAAGGAATGCAGTATGAAATATTGAGGAGACAAAAATTTGATGACTCTGTTACTAACTGTAATTGGTCGATACCTACTTACAAATTTTTAAATGTGTTTTTAAAAAATTTGAACAAGTGGAGCAAATTTCAGAGCGTCCGATTACGATCAATTTTTGAGCAATGAAAGTTCAACCTGTCAAAAGCATGTTTGATTTCATGTTCCATTAGCAATAGTGCTTGTGACTTAATGTTGGGATTTTAACAGATGAGGTCTCTTTGCAAGAATCTAGTCCTGTTTGAATAAATGGTAAGTGATACTTGCAAGGGTATCTCAGATTTACCCTCCCAGACAGGTTGGAAATATTTGGGTAAAACTTGATTAAGCTGCCATCTTAAGCAATTCAGACTTGCTTTTAGTTTATTTTCTGATAGAAAGAGCAATAATTGATTTCATTATCACAAGTAGAAATTTAAAAAAGGAGTAGTTTAATTGGGCATAGCATTCATAAAAACCCAAAAAATATCATGCAAAAAAATTATGAAGACAGAAAAGTGGGAACACTCTACTTGCAAGGATTATGTATTGACAGAACATGATTTAACAGAACCATATTCTCACTCTCAGTATCCTTAAATAAAGGTACTCAATCGCGCATAATTTCCTCTCAGAGATTGCCAGTTATGGTCTTAATGTTTTATGAATCTGAAGTGCTAAGATCCACATTTGTAAAACACCAAGACGGTATGAGAGATGAAATATTTTAGTACAAGCAATTGAAAGATATAGAGACCAAAAATAAAAGAATATCTATAAAATGGAATCTCGGTATGTACTCGTAAGGATTACAAAATAAAGACTGCTGGGGAAATCCAGCAAGCCACCTTTTTTGATAGGAGCACAGCACAAAATGAATGGAAAAGGGAATTCAAGTAAGATAATTATTTTCTTTTAAATATAGCGTGTACAGTGTAATTAGGTTGATTTTCTCTCTTCTCTGAAAAAATTAAATAATAAATGGTTTAAAATGCATATCATTAAAAAGAGCATGATGTCAGAGCAACTAGTCATGGTAAGAACTTTCAAAGGAGTAATTGCCTGGAACTTTCCCTGAATTCTTCTTTAATTTAAAAAAGCCGTCCTGATGAAGAACTTGACTGAAATACTGAGAAAAATTGAAAATGGTTCACACAAACATACCACTATCCATTCCATGAGTGTCAACCATATGAGATCTGAACTCAAGCATGTATTCAGGCATCTTGAAAAATTCGCCACATACTTTACATTGGCTAAATAGCTCAGAATGTAGGAGTTCATGAATGCTTAGCAGTGTCCTCATCCCAAACCTTTTAGAGCACAGATTGCATTTGAACATTTCACCCATTGCATGTTCTGTAGCCCCATGTTGCTGCAGGGCATTATTATTAAAACATATTGCACAACAGATGTTGCACACACAATTGGGATAGTGTTCCAGGTCAACATGCTTCACAAAAACATATTTATCCGAGAATACTTGTTGACATACGTTACATGTGATCAATTTGTGGTTATTGAGGATGTGGTTTTTAAGACCATTACTCTTAATTAAAACGTTACATTCTGGACAAGCAATATAAGGCTGTCTGTTGCTTTTTGGTTCATGCTGTACATTATGAACACGATGTACATGCATGTGAAATTGAAGAGTAGCTGGACTACATTGCACTTCAGAGCATAACTCGCAAGGATAATAATCAGTGTGAGCAAGGATGGCGTAGCGCTCTTTTTCAGGAAAGTCGTTTTGGCTGTGTTCATACTTATGGTGACCTTGCAACTGCTCTTCATCTTTGAATACAAACCCACACTCACTACATACTAATGCAGGAGGATGTGTTGAGGAAATATGTTCAGATAATTCTCCTATATTTGAATAACTTGTAATGCATAAACAACAAGGGTATGAAATAATCTGTTCTGGAATGTTTTCAACTGGATCGGCTTCTCCTGTTGCTGATTCAGGTTCATTAAGACCCATTCCTTCTTGACCTTCAACAGTCTCTGGTAGAGGAAACATGGGCGGTAACGGTAATTGCCCATGATCATTCTGCAAATGTGTGGAAAGACTTTCGTGATCGTTGAAAACTTGACCACATAAATGGCAATTAGACGGAAAACCATCAGGCTGCATGTTTGGATCCTCGATAAAGGGCTCTTCAATGTTTTGATCTACGGTTGGGTTTGAGTTTTCTTCTGTTAAATGCGTTTCTTGATGTAAATATAAATCAGGCTTAGTTGCGAAGAATGCTACGCAGAATTTGCACTTCAAATGAAACTTCTCCTTGTGAAACTGAAGTTCTTCATAACTACTAACTTGGACATTACATAAGTTACAATATTTCGAATTAAAAAAATTTCGGGGACCTCCACGTCGATTATTCATCCTATGATTTTGGTTGTGAAAGCTAAAGCCATCATCTGGAGGTCCATCATAGCTGTTTGAATCCTCATTGTATACATCAGAAGAATATGCTTCATGCTGCAAGTTGTTATGGGGATCCTCCGAGTCATGGAACTCAGAGTGGAAAGAGGGTCGCGGTCCCATTTGTCCACCACGGTACGGAGGGCGACCTCGACTTCTACCCCTACCCCTACCCCTTCCTCTACCTCTCCCTCTTCCTCTACCTCTGCTACCTCTGAAGGCATTCTGCTCTGAGAACTCGTCATTGCCAAAATTATCTTGAGCTTCATGAAATTCGCTGTTTTCAAACTCATCCCAGGATTCGAAGTTTTCGACATCATTAAAATCATGATCGTTTTCATGAGGAGGGTTGAAGTTATGATTGAAACCCCCCCTTCTTCCCCGCCCTCGCCTTCTCAGTCCTCGAGGACGCCCTCGATAATTATTTCCTCGCTGAAAATTATCCGATTGGAAATGAGAAGACTGGCCTTGATTCATGGCAGCCTTGCACTCTGATTCTAAATGTATATCTAGGAGAGCTTTTTTCTTGAAAGGTTTCCCACACATGGTACATCTGAAAGGCACATTATCCATTGGCTGTTGCGAAGGAGGAAAATCTGCCGCTCCCTCATCAGGAGCTGGCTCATCCACATAATCAGACGAGTGCATTGGAGGATTGTGATGAACATGCTGTGATGGATGGCCTGGATGCGAAGTCTGTGGGGGGTGATTATGACTCTGTGGGAAATGATTCCTCTGCGGTGGACGATTTGGGTGTACATTATGAGGTGGACGATTAGGATGCTTGTTCTGAGGTGGGTGATTATCATACTGTCTAGCTTGCCCCGGATGATTTGGATGAAGATCCTGTGGTGGATGATTCGGACGCATATTTTGTTGATGGTGATTTTGGTGTACATTATGGGAGGGAGGGTTCCTTTTGAAATCACCTGAATTATTAGTGAAGTTGTTACTATTTATAAAAGAGTTCTTTGGTTTTTTAACAAAGTGCGGGTTACCTGCATTATAATCGGGACCATTTTGGGTTCTGAAGTCTCGCTTTTTCCCTCCTCTGCCAGTTGAAAAATTTTCTCCACTCGACTCCTGAAACTCGTGTTGCTGGGAAATTTCTTGATTATCTGCTTCATCCGGTTGAAAATGTTGAGGTTGCTCCTCTTGTTCTGATCGGACCCATCGGTGTACTCCTCTCGCTCCTCTCCAAGGTCTTCTTCCTCTCCTGAACATTATATCGCAGTACGGTCTTCGATGATTTATGCCTGAGCCAGAGTTAATGGACTTGAGACCTGTAAGATGAAGATTTAAGAGGGTTAGCGAAAGTACGAAGTGACATACAAATACAAGAAAAGAGAAACAAAAGTCAAAAAAATTGTTAGACAAATATGCACACCAATGTTTTTTATTTATTTCATATAGGTGCTTTAAAAATTCCAAAGTGCCCTAGGTACCAGGGATGTTCCATGGTGACAAAAATTACATTTTGATGGTGAGCCAACAGGACCACACATTTTCGTTTGCCATGTCAAAGATTCCCAGTCACATTTTTTCTCTTAAATGATGAGTAATTATTGTTTTTACACAACATTTTGTGAGATTATCCTTTGCCTAGGTATTGAAGAATACTTTTTGAAGTTCAGTTTGAAAGGGTTTAAAGGGGTTATTTTAGATAATGATGGAAAAAAATTCTGATCATCTTAAGCTTAATAGAGGATAGTGTATTTTCTGCAGGAAATACATTAATAGAGGGAATAGCCTCAGTATCCTACTGGGAATTTTTTCTTTTCCATCCATCTAGATCCAAAACCAATAGCGTGAGTTTTAAAGAGTGTATGAGCATGGGCAAATTGAGGCATTTGACCTGAAAAGTTTTGCCATCAGAAAATGCGAGGCATATTATCAGGCATGCCATAAACACTGGTACATTGCTGCCTACTTACGACTGCTGAACGCAATAATGACATGGTTTTTGTAACTGAAATGCCCCAATTTTTGGGGGAAATTGAATTCTCTCTGGAGGTGACCCAATCAGGGAGAAGTTCCTCCTTATTCCAGCAAACTCAAACTTGCCCAGAAAAATTAAGGCTGTTCATGGAATTCATGCTAAAATCCTGCTCAGGATTTTCGACAAATTGAGTGGTGAAATAAAAAAGTAATTTAATCCTGAATGATGCCAGCCTGCAGAAGAGGTTTCTGCCTTTGCAGAGCACAGGTGAGTTCTTTTGTCGGTGATATTCATAAGTTTTATTGCCATCTTCCTTCTAGTACTAATCTCATCATGTAGATTTCTAAACTTACTTCAGCTCCAACTTAACTTAACCCCAAAAATAAAAACGTAAGTGTAGAATATAATACTTGGGCTACAGATTGAAAAATCTGAATTAAACTTGACAAGAATCTTGGTAAATTATTGATAGAAGAGAGGGAGCGTTATTCAATAACACGCATCTACTAGGAGAGGCAAAATATAAAATAGTGAGGGTGCAGGCTCTGAATGACTTTTTCACAACTCAGACAGCAGGATTGTTTGATCTTCTATAGGTTAGGAGACAAAGAGGAGTGAGATATCAATTACGTTCATGATTTCCTTTAGAATAGTTTGGAGCTACGGTGGTAAATACATAAAATTAACAGAGGCAATGGAAAGTATTGGCTTCTAATGAACTGAATCTAACGATCCTATTCCAATAGGAACTTCGGAATTCATCAGGCATACAAAAAGTGCCACATAGTAAACCTTGGTCGATATCGCCAGATCTAGAGATGGAAAAATAATTTAATGATGGCCAATAGGTCAAATATACTGTGGCGCCACAGCTTTTGGCAAAGCTACTGTATGAGAAACCAAGAGAGAGGAGAAGAAAATAAGAGTTCATCGATAAGGGAGAAGATGATCAATACCTTGTAGACGGGTGCCAAGAGTGCTGAAGTTCCTTCCTCGTAGGGTGAGCGGCTGGTTGTAGGCGATATTCGTAGGCTGGAATTTTACGAATTCACTTCCAGATGAATTTACTTAAAAATGACAGAGTAGGTAATAAATTTACTCCTTAAAAAGTTGAAGTATGCTGTTGTATGAGGGGGTAAGATTATGAAAAGGTGATACCATTGCTGACGAACAAATAACGCAGGAGGTGAAAAGCGTGAGCCTCTGATATACAACTTATTGCAGAATTATATTCTTAATAAAGCTAGGTTATTTTGAACTTTACTTTAGGTAAATAAATAATTCTTGAAGAAAAAGCTGTTCCCAGCTACAGTATTCAGCGAACATAACCTCATACGCAAACGTAAACATAACGACATAAAAGGTGCGTTGTCGAAGTCAACTTTCCGTTTGCGTTGGGCTTCTCAACGCTAACGGATATCACGTGACAGTTGACTTACCCGTTGGAAAACGCGTTGTTGGTCGTCTCTGTTGACTAAAAATTGTTGTGTTTTGAATGTGACACCGCGTGCACAATATCATTCAGAGGTTAGCTCAACGCTTTCAACTACCTCCTGAGACCGATGACTTGTTGACTTCCGTTTAGTAAACAGTCCAGGACATCGGGCAATCCCAACGGAAGTCGAACAACGCCGAGCGTTGGGCATCGGGTAATTCCATTGCCCAACGCTCCTCAACAGTTGACTTCGACAACGCAGCTAAACGTCCAACGTTGCGCAACGTTGCACCTGAGGGAAAAAAGAGAAAATTTCCCTAATTTTTCCCAATGCCACCCATGCCACCACAAAGTTGGATTTTTATTTTCCGCTTCAAAGGAGAACATTTTCCATTCGAATTAAATGATGATTAAATTTAAAAAAAAAAAGAAGAAAATACGCATTCTCAGGAACGGAGCGGGGTTTTTATCTAGTTTTTATGTGACAAAGTGATATAATGTCATAAAGTTGATGAGAGAAAGTGGGAGATTTTTTGTTATCAGTGTGCATCACCATCACTAACTGTTGTTTTGTTGTGAAGGAACGTTTTCGAGGAACGCTCTCAAACATTTTAATCCTGATGTGGCTGTTAATTTCGTAGTTATATAGTTTTTTTTTAGATTTAACAATGTTTCCAATATCTAAAATAGTTTTTATTGCTGTTTTAATCAACCGTGTAACGTCAGGTAATCCGATATTCTGCAGCTCTCTTTCGATGAGCAACCACCGAGCCCCTCCCATTTCCTGAAATTTATCTCAATTTTTTGCTATTTTTTCGTATACTAGACCTTTCCATCTCATAGATTTATTTACTAAAGTAGACGGCTCAGTTTACACGCATACCTGTCGGTTTTAGTCGATTCACATTTGCTTATATTAATCAACAGATCCTTGCGGCGCAAGCACCCTCTATGGAATGCTTGGATTTTCGATGATTCATGTCTTCTTCCTTTTTCCCTTGCATATTTTTTTGCAGGTCTTAAATTTAGCAGACTTGTTAATCCTCGAAACCGAATGATATTTTAGGCATGTTTGTTTCAGTCATGAAATGGCAAGAGAAATGAGAGCACAAGTTGATGTGTTCACTGGAATACCGTAATGCACCAATTCTCTTACACAGTAAATAGCCTAAAAGTTCAGCAAATCAGTCCACTATCTTTGCATGCACAACATCCATTAATTATTAATGTGTGATAAACTTTTAATTCAATCCGTGCTTCATTGCGGCCCTTTGTTAGCGTAGTTTCTCCTTGTGATCGGCAATCTCTACAGGCACGAGTGGACTGCTAGCACCAATGTTTAATTTCAGAGTATACGCCGAATAAGTTTAAGCACTTATTAGACTCCAACAGAAGATCTACCATCTTGCTCCTTGCATTTACTTTACTCGTAATTTTACTTTTAAGTGATGTCAGATGATCTTCTGATGCAGTCTAGAAGTGCGTAAACTGATTTGGTGAGGACTCTACCCTCTTAAAGAAAAATCTCTGAACAGTCTCCTTCAAAATTGACAGCCTTATAAAAGAATGAATAAAGTGGTCAGTGGTCCTGAGGCATTTTGCTGCGGCTTCTGTGAATTCTGTATTTTAGGTCACCACAAATTTCTTGGATGTAGTTCTTTGTAACCGGCTGATACAAAATGTTTAGTCCTTCAAGAAATGCGTCGTTTTGCTTCAATACCTCATTTTTGTCCTGAAACTTGCACACCTCTAATTTAAAAGCCAGTACCATTTACAATATGCACATCGATAATGAGACTGCTAAAACACATATCTCTTTTGCAGTGTTTTGTCTTGTTTCCCTCGTGGAATGTCAGAAAAATCTATTTCCTATTATCTTTGGCAACCTTACAATGAGTTTTTTTCCGCTTAAATAATTACGACAAGGTGGCTGCAATTTCGCGAAGCAAGATATTTGTACTTACGGTTTCACTGACAATATGTTATCATTTACTGTGTGTAGAAACTAACTGCATCGTGCAAGATGGTAAAATTTATTTTTATCATAACAGACCAACATCATCTGAGCATATTTTTCTGATTTCAGATTACTATGACTGCAATGAGCCTTTACTGGAGCAAGCTGCATTGTCTGCCACTTCATTTTTAGATGATAGAGGTCCAGGAAATGCTCGATTAAATGGTAAGTCCATCACTTCATTCAATTCATTTATTTACAATCTTATTATCGGACCAAGTTTAACTAAAATGCTAGTAGTTACATCCAGTAAGAACTGAGAAAGTGAGATTTGATGTTTTATAACGCTGTGAGGCTCAAACTTTACCAAAAAATCTTACGTTCAAAATATTTTTCCCCCACTTTTCAAGTTTTAAAACATTTATGAGCAGTTGAATTAAAAACTACTACTAACTCATTTGTTTCCAAAATGCATCTTTGTGCATTTTCTTCAAACTCCGTTCGGTGCCTTGATTCAATGTCGAGATTGTCCCAAAAATATGGACTTTCAATTTCAACGACGAACCCCCTTATTGACAAGAATTGTCATCGAAAAATTCACTATAACTCTCAGGTGAATGGGACTGGCTCAAAGTAATCTCAAAATCTTTAATTGGAAGTTTTTACGAAACATTTCCGACGTCAAATGCTCTGGGAATTGACTTTCTTTGCATTTTGTTGGAAATCTAATTGCTTATTTTTCTATTTATCCTCAGGCAGTAGCTTCTTAATATTTCCGCCTGTGCTGCACGTATCATTCTTTTTAAATTTTTCATTTTTTATTTTTTTTTGCAAAGCATATTTTAACAGACTAGTTTCTCTTCAAAGTAGCTAATAAGCTGATCTCCTTCATTATCCTTCTCCTTAAATTGGTCAATTCAAAATTCTTTTCAACCCTATTTTATTCCATTTTCTTGTGTAAGTGTTTCGACAAACTCTTGTATTATCTTTCATTTTATTTGGGTGGAGAGTGGTGGTGGGGAGGGCTGCACAAGTACTTACCGAAGGAAAATCGTTTACAAAGAAAATTTTTGTCTATTATAAAAGAGAGATAATCAATATTTTAACAATCAGTTACATAAAATTGGAAGCGTGGTATCCAATGAAGAAGCTTATAAAAACTGAAGGATGTTGGAAAAAGCTTTCTCTTTTCTAAGGATTAGTTGCATCTACTTTCCTAGTTTCAATTTTTGCACAGAATGAAACTGAAAAATTGCATTAAGCTCTTAAAATCTTTGCCACTAATTCATCAAGTCCCCGACAGAGTTTATAATAATGAAATGGACTTTTTCAGTTCAGAAACCTTTCTAAATAGCAGCCAATAATATTTTCTTCTTTTTTTCTTTTGCTTCAGATTGATTTTGGGCTTGAAGGAAACATTTTCAACAAGCATAATTAAAAAGGGAAGAAAATTTTAACGGCTGCATTTATTAGTTTCTTTGATCCACTAAAAGGAGGAACTTTTAACTCATAAGACGGTTTTTCGACCTTGTTCACAAATTGATCTAATGCAATTGAAGATTCACTGCAATTCGCATATTGTGAAAATGAGCCTCAAAAGTGCTCGTTGGGCTTTTGACTGTAAATTATGGAATCCCTCCGAAGATGAGTGGAGGAAAACTGCTTCATTTCTCCAGGAAGATGAAAAACAGAAAGTTAAGCAGTTTTATTTCCAAAGAGATGCAAAATCCTGCCTGATTGGACGCCTTTTAATGAGAAAATTCTTAACTTTAAGTTCAGGGCTCCCTTGGAGTGAAATCCAGATCATTAGGGATCAGCACAACAAACCGCTCTGTCTAAATAATCCTCAACTACATTTTAATGTTTCTCATCAAGGAAATTTCACTGTGCTGGCAGGAGAGGTTGGGTCCTATCAGTTAGGAATCGATATTATGAAAAATGAAGTAAAGTCAGGTAAACGGTTGGAGGATTTTTTCAGGATCATGAGACGTGTAATGACTCCCAGTGAATGGGAACAAATCAATTCTTGCTCAACTGAACTTGATAAGAACTTTATGTTTTATCGGTTTTGGTGTTTGAAAGAATCTTATGTTAAAGCCATAGGTGTAGGTTTAAATGTAAATTTACAAGATTTGCGTTTTAAAGTAAATTCTTTAGAATTGGTACAAAATCAATTCACTACTGATACGCAGTTTTTTTTAAAAGATTCATTACAAAGTACCTGGACATTCTATGAGACTTTATTAGATCCTGCTCATTGTGTTGCAATAGGCATTCATGATGCCAATTCTGGAACTTCCAATTTTGTAGATAAGTTTACGACTCTGACATTAGATGATTTAATTTCGGAAGCAGAACAAATCAGCACACCCGACTCTGAATTCTCTGTCAGCATGGTGAATAAACCTTTAGCTCCATAGTTGAATTGTATGCCTATACGTATATACTGGAACTTATATTTTGCTCACAATCAGATTGATTTTTAAGAAACTTTATTTTCATATAATTTTTGAAGCTATTTTTATTTCGCTCTTTTCACCTACTATTTGATCAAAATATTACCTCATGCTTATCTGTAATTTAAAACTTCTGATTGAGTTGCTGGATTAATTCTGCTGCTTTTCTTACTTATACCTATTCCATGTTTTATGCTTACCATAATCATTTAATCATTCAATTCCCCATCTTATTCAGAAATATTCTGTGCAGATTCCAGCAACCACATGTTTCATAAATGAGCTGCATTTTGCAATTATGAACTACAATTTCTGGTTCATCCACAAAAACACATATGTGCATAAGGAAACTGATGATACATAAGTTGTTTCTTAACTGAGCCCCAAATTTAGTTCCTAATTGCAAAATGAAGTCCATTTGTTCTCTTCAAAGAGCCTTTAGACAAGACATGGACTAAAGCACTGCACAGCATGTTCTCTCTTCAAACTTTCTTGAAGAAAACGAATTTTGTAACGTGAAATCCAGAAATCAGCTCTTAAAATAGGTACAAGTTTTTTCTATGAACAATGTTTAAGTCACAAAATTCATATGACGTCATTTGCAAAATCCAACTGCCTTCTAATCTGTGTTCAGAATACCTGTTGATACCTCGTTCCAGAGTTGATTTCCGAACTTCCTGTTGTGTTTTTAACATTACATTTTGAAGAGGACACATGTGACTTTTTTCCAAGTCCAGACCTTTTCTGGTGGCCCATCATTATTAGTCATATATTATTATTTATTTTGTCAAAACGCAATTTAAAAAAAAAAAAAAAAGTAACTTTTTTTCATGAAACTCTTTGATCACCTGTTTCTCTTGAGAAACCTTGCTCTTCTTTTCTAGGAGGTTTACTCAAGTTAAATTTTTTTCCATAAAATTTTTGTCAGAAGAAAATGTATGCGTCTGTAAATGTTTCTTGTCATTAAAATGTTCACTATATAAAAAGACGAAAGCAACATGTTTTTTTCTTCTTTTTTCTCTTCAACAAATTATTCAAGACATTCCTTTTGGATCTTCTATCACACGAGTACCTATGTAGTTATGAAAATCTAGGCTGTCATAATTTGAGAATTACCCTCTGTGTATTCTTAGTAGCACTTTCTTTCATCAACTAATCTGTTATGCATGTGTTGTTGGTGGAGGGGGGAGAGATTAACAACAAAACAACCGGAAGTTTCCAACGAAAATGCCGGGAGATTCGAAATTTTGGTCCTATACCTCGGATTTTCAAAAGCCATTCTATGAGGTTGAAAGGAAAGTTCCAAAGGAAAATCTAAATTTTTGAAAAAATCATCCTCCCCCCCCCCTCAATTCATGAACCGCAAATCATAGCCTACCAACAGCCCTTCCTATTTGGGTTTATCAGCTACTTTTCCTCTTTTCTATTCGCTGCCTGCATTCAGTTTTCATCATCTGGCCCAACCCAATTTTCGTTCTTCTTCTTTCCAACTGGCATACATCTGCAAAAAATAACTGATACCTATCGACTCTTGAGGTAGCAAGCCACAGTCAAACGACCATACTTAGATCTTGTTTTGTGTTGAAATTAATTTATGCATCCGTGCAGATAGGTATAATAATATGTTCAGCAAAAATATCGAAATAAGAAAGGAAATCAGTCATCTGAAAGATTTTTCAGAGTGAAAACTCATTTGTAAATAAGGGTCAAGTCAAGACATGGGGAAAGTTGAGCCCCTTTTAACTCTTTGAATGATGCCTTTCGTCTAGCCCGAAACAAAATAAAAAAATAAAAATGAATCAGAGTAAAATAAAATATCCAGAAATGATCCAAATATCAGTAAGAAAGAAATGCTTGTATAATGTAAGTATCAATATCTATTTTGTGAATATACCTACCAGTGGAAAAGAAAACAAAAATTATCATATCGGTCTTATTGCTGCAGCAAGCACCTGCTGCTTGTGTGGTTTTCAAAGGTCTTGAAGGGTCTAGAAAGATAGTTTTTTCCCCCATTTATTCAAAGTTATGTTCTCCTCATTGATCAAGGCAGATAGAGCAGCAGATAAACCCTAAAATTCAAGCTCAGAAGTTTGCTTGTTGCTCCTAGAAAAATTGAAATAGGAGCGGAGTTTTTGAAACACCGCAATAGAGATACGTGGTTTTGCTCTCTAGCCATTGATATGTTCTTAATAATCCTTTTGACTTTTTTACCGGCTTGTTTTTGGTCATTATTCTTCACAGCTTTCCTCCTCCAAGCAATGGAGGAAGGAAGTTCCTTTTTCAACGCCGCCTCCCTTTGTTTTACACTCCTCACAGTTGCCATTATAGACTATTGATTTCTAATGGTAGCATGTCATGGAACCAAGAACTGGAGGTGAGGCCTCATCCCAAAGCTTCGCAGAGGAAGGGGGAAAATAAGTAGGTTTCAGAAATGTCACACACTGGCACTGTGTTGCATGCATTTTATCATGTCAGACTGTAACTAGCACAAATGCTGTGTCATCCCCAGACTACAATTATTGATTTTTCCTATATATTGTCTCAATTTACCCAGCAGTAGCTGCAGCCATAGATAATTGCTTCTTTCCGCACATAGCCCATCCTGTTTTATTGCTTTCTTTCATTGATTTTTCTTCATAGCTGTCGAACAGCACCTTACTGTAGACTTTTGAGCGGGTAATTACTTTAATTGCAAAAATTCTGTCGGTGGATAATTAAAAAGAACCAAAAAAAAGAGAATAAATATTTATGGATAAGTACATGCATATTGCGTTGATTTTTCCATCCCTCTTTGCACAAACATTCAGGCATATGATTTTTAACCTTTTTGTTACTTTTTCCCATTTCAGCCTCCTTCTCATCCCTCCTTTCCTGTTATTCTCAATCAAATTGAATCTGTTCAAGTAAAAGAATGAAGAAACCAAGAAAGGGAAAAGAAATTAATTAATGAGTGGTACAAGTAAGAAAACAAAATTTGTTTTGTTTTCATGGACGGACTTAACTATCAGCAAGAAATGTTATGAGAATGACTTTACAATTTTGTTCAGTCGTATATGCCGCAACATTATACTTTTTTTATACTGGAAAATTGCAATGATAAAAAGCAGAAAAAGGCACTTGTTCTGTATCTGAACGTCATTTCCTCTGATCTCAACTGTTTTTTTTCTTTTTTTTTTCTAACCATTATTGCCAATCTTGGCTCTGAATGGTAGGTTTTCATCAGAAATTCCGAGTTTGTCATTTAAATAAGAGGAACAAAATAAAATGATATCCACCCCCAAACTAAGACACTTATTAAAAAAAATCTTAAGAATCAATAAGTAACAAATTTAAAAAAATTAAGATTTAAGAAACTCATGGTGAAAATGACTATCGTCTAATTTAAGTACTAATACTAGTAAGTACTAATATTTAGTACTTTAGTACTAATTTTTGGATTGAATAGCAACAGAGTCGTCTGAGGCACGACAAAGTAAAAATACAAATCAAACTTTTTAATACAAAAACTCACCTCAAGAGTCCAGTCCACAAGCCGGCTTTCCACACAGGCTAATTCTTGAATATTTTATGCAAATAAAATAGATTTTGTTATCATTCATATTCGCAATCGTTGAGGGAGAGGAAAGTGCTTCTCCTCTCTCAAAAATTAATCCTGCTCTTTTTCACACCGCCAACCATCATACTTTTCCTCCCAGAAATAAGTAATTATAGATTCTCTACTAGCTTTTTTCTCAATTTCCGATAGTGGTTACTTCAAAGTAACCCATGTGTAACAGTAAAGAATCGATTCTTTAGGATTTTTTGCAAACACCCCGATAATTGATCCTTTTCCACTGGTTTAAATGGCAAATCAATTGATCCGTTGCAAAGAACAACTTGCCTACGCACCGTGCCCTTGAAGTAGGTTCGGATGGACACTTTAATTCTCATTTGCACTTTTTTCAGGCCAAAATGCGTGGACTGCATCCAATTCAGATTTTGGGCAATATCTTATCATTGATCTCGGCCAGCCTATGATGATCCACAGTATCGCAACACAGGGCCGGGCACACTCTTCTGAATACGTCATGGAGTACCTCATCAGCTATGGTTCCAATGGACTTGACTATGCAGATTACAAAGAAGCTGGTGGTTATACTAAGGTGAGTTGAGTATACTCCCTCAAATTCAAAATTCTAGGCAAAATTCCCTTTTAAACCCCTTTCAGAACCTTTTTGGTTCTAAATTGGAAGATTCCACTCATTTTTTATTTTTATGAGAAAGATCATTTAATCAGACAGTGATGTTTTATTATTAGCTATTATGGTGAACTGTATTGGTGAAGTTTCTGATACTAAAACAATGCACTGTCCATAGTAGCTCATGAAATTATAAGTATCCTTATGCCTCCATAAAGTTTTAATGTATTTTCTGAAGAAAATACTCTATTCCATTCTCCCATGATGTCGAAAAAAACCGGCGCTCTGCTTCTCTCTGCGCCAGTTTTTTTTCTTAAACGTTTCTTCAAATGGTTTTTTTCCTCTCTTTCTCTCTCTTGTGTAGCCGAATTGAAATCATAGAATTAGAAATTCCACCAACAGACCTCTGAAGGTAAAATGTAGTAGGAGAATAAAAATAAAGGTTTTCTGGTTGGTCACAATTTTATTCCCATCAATTAATTATAATTACTACAATCTATTATTCAATCTATTCAGTCTATTCTCTGAATATATCATGTTTTGCTTCATCAACTATAGACGATATCAACAGATGGTTCTTTAAAAAAAAACTTTTTTTCAGATCCACGCTTTGTTTCTAAGTTTAATCTCAAGAGATATGAGCACTAATTAGAACTTAAAAAGCAGCTTCATTCATCATCATTTAACTCAAGATCTAGAGGAATTGATTTTTTGCATTTCTGACTCCTTTTATATTTGATTCAATTGGAAAATCCAGAATTAAAATCAATTCTTCTTTTGATACTAGCAAATATTTTGACAGTTCCAATCAGTGCCTGTACTTAGCTCAGAAATTCATATCAACTACTCCATAAGCATGACTGCATTCTTATTTGCATCTACTGTAACAAACTAACATAAATACATTTCTTGCAAAAAAAAAAAAAAAAAAAAAAAAAAAAAAAAAAACAAACCTGGAAGGTATGAAGGAAATTTGTAACTTTTTAAATTGCTTGTCATGCCTGAAATACTGTTGTTGAAACTCAATGCTAAGGAACTTCTAGTTCTTAGAAACAGTACCACAAATTTTAATCACTTTTCCTCTTATGCTTTTAGATGTTCAAAGGAAATGTTGATGGAGATTCAGAAAGGATAAATTATTTTGAAGTCCCAATAATTGCTCAATGGGTTCGCATAAATCCAACTCGATGGAGGGATCGAATATCAATGAGAGTGCAACTCTACGGTTGTGACTATGGTATGTTTCTTTTGTCTCTCGAGGTCTTTTCATATTTAACGTAGGGCAGTATTTTACTTTTGTATCAGAGGGTCAAGAGGTTGACAGAAGCCAGTATTTTCCTTTTGTATTAAAGGGTCAAGTAGAACTTCTAAATTGCTCCATGCACAAACCTCTCCGTGTCCAACCATGCAGAACAGAAAGGGAAAAAAACATCGTTATACCCAATAAAAACATATATCTCTACTCAGATAATGACTAATAATAATAATAATGACTAATTGGGGGGGGGGGGCTTCAGAAGATCATATATATAACTCAACATTTCAATTCTCCAAGAATTTAGTTTCTCAGTTTTTCTTTTATTTATCTGGTTAAATTAAATTGTTTTTAACACTGTTGGAATTACATTTGAACGGCTTACCCAAAGAAGAGCATGAGGACCAAAAGTCAAGTTTCAAGAAAACATGAATAAATTTCATATCTTCGACAATTCTTTATGTTTTTGCTAAAAGACATTAGTGAATGCTCTACATACAATCTACTGAAATGAATTTATGGTTACACAACAATGGTCACAGAAATTGGTGAAAACGTAAAATTTGTTTAAATTTCAGCAGTTGTGCTCTTCTGCTATTAAACCGCTCAGCATCACTATTGAATGAAAATGAAAAAGCTTGATTTCTTCAGCAATTTCTCATAAAAATCAATCAATGTTCTACAGACCCTCTGTAATAAGACCACGGTTACATGAGGAGGTGTGGAGAAATTAGGCAAGAAATAAAAACTTGTTCAACTTTTGGTGGTTTATTCTTCCACTAAACTGCTGAATACTGATATTTTTAGCAGTAAAATGACAGTCAAGTAGCATGCGTGTTCGATGGCAATATCACAAATTATTAAGTGTCCCCTTTTCATACCTTGAGTTGATTTTCCATGAACTGCATATTACAAATTTTATTCTAGGCTCTAGGAGTTTAAAGCTCCTCCATAAAAATCCCATCATGCACCACAATGCCCAGTTAATCAGGGCAAGATTTTATAATTATAAGTAAAACCATTTATTGCTAATTTCTCATTTCAGTTGCCGAAAATGTCTACTTCAATGGATCTTCGCTGATTCAGTGGAATTTGAAACATGAGCCGATCTCTTCACTCCGTGAATCCATCCGATTCAGGTTCAAAACTAACAGTGCCAACGGTGTTTTGATGTACAGTAGAGGACCTCAAAGTGATTTCCTTGCGCTAGAACTGAACAATAATGGACTTACATTCAGTGTAGATTTAGGTAACTCCACTTCTAAGTTATTTTGCTCGTTGCTGAATGAATTATTGTAGGATCCAGATGCAGTCCACAGTCTCAATTTATGAGCATAAAGAATAGAGATAATCATAATTTGAGTTTTTGATTAGGATTATGATAATAAATGAACAAGATTAACAGCTACACAAATTATTTTAATTAAACAAACACAAATATTCGAATGAACAACAAAATATGGAACAAGTTCTGTGAAAACGTCCCATGGAGATAAGGCCTTAGTGGTTTGCTGTATTCATGAAGTCTCAGTTTTCTGTGTTATTACTGACTTTTTTGTATGATTTTTTCACCCTCAGGGTCTGGTTCAAAAACTTCTCTTTCTGTGGGGAGTCTTCTTGATGACAACATTTGGCATGATGTAATCATAACTCGGAATCGCAAAGAAGTTATTTTTTCAGTTGATCGTGTTGTAGTGTCAGGAAGGATCAAAGGCGACTTTATTCGACTCAATCTCAACAGAGACGTAAGTCATTCTTTTTTTTCTTTTTTTTATCCTAGAAGTTAAATTTTTTCTCTTTCTTTAATTTCCAAATATCTCTTGTGAATTTCCATTGACAGGTATGCACATGCTGTTCTCATAGCGGTTCTTTCAACTTTCCGTGAACCATGAGTGATATGTCAGTTCAGTAAAGCTTTATGGTAAAAGGACAAGCATGGAAACAGCGCGAAGTCATCTACACTAATATTCATTTACTAGGGGGTATGCCCCCAGGTTGCTACTTTTCGCTCATATACTCAGTTTAACTGAGTCTTCGTTAACTGAGTGATATCTCCGTATTATAATGTTGACATTCGGCATTTTCTACAGTTTTTTCCTCCAGCCATATTCTGCCTCATCAGTTCATGGGTTCATGCTAAATCTCTAATGACCTTGAAATTTAAATGATTTGAAAAGAGTTGACAAATTGTATCAATGAATTGAAAATCTTGACCAAGAGAGAACTTATCCATCTGGTCCTATCAAAAGTATCCATGTAAATTTCAACTGCGTTTTTTTCATCTCCACTTTGTCACCACCTTGTTATGCTTTGATATCTGAATGTAATCCTTTTTTCATTTGTTTTTTCTTTCTTCAGTTCTTTATTGGTGGGGTGCCTAATTTTGAAGATAGTCTAAGCGTTCGACAAAATTTTACTGGATGCATGGAAAACATTTACTTCAATGCCACCAACTTCATCCGCACTATGAAAGAAGCTTATGAGTCCGGAGATGATTGGGAAATGAACTTATACAGAAAGAACAACATCTTATTTTCATGTCCAGTAAGAACAAATTCCTTTTTCTTTTTGACTTACAATCATTGATCTCAAAGTTAAATTTGATAATAGAACAGTTGGCAGTTTTCTAACTTCAACAAATCTGTGTCTTGACCATTTTTCGCTCTCTGAGTTTTTTACTTACCTAAATAGCATTTTCTCACCTAGTTCCTGTTTTTACCAGAAACTATAAAACTCATGTAATTGTCATTTTTTCCAACAGTAGCCCTGAAGATGCTTTACATTGACCTTATGCGTTGAAAATTGCTAGAAATCAATCCCAAAATTTGTTTGGAGCCGTTAAACTCTAAAGTAGGATGTTCAAAATTTAGTGCTATTGCCTAGAGGCCCTAACTTTTTTCTCTAAAACAATTTCTTTGGTAGATCTTTGATTTTTAAGGAAAAAGTAGTCAAGCTCCATTCAAAAGAAATCCTTATTATGTTTGATGAAGGTGCCTTGAAAGCCATCCAAAATTTTTGAGGAAACTTGCCAAAATTTCTAAAGGAAAACAGATACTGAAAAGGAGAGCAATAGACCAATTTTAAGTAATTTGTTTTGTTCAATCTCTCTTTCAAATGTTTAACTCGCAAAAGATTACTTATTTCATTCTATATTATTTACTTTGTTCAATTATAAATCTCAAAATATTCCGAAAATCAGCTCAGAAAAAATTCATAGTTAACTCCACTGAAGTATTTCAAGTCAAAACTGTGTGTTTGTTTCAGGAACCGGCCATCATTCCAGTGACATTTTTAACTTCAAATTCGTACGCCATATTGACAGGTTATGAGGGTCAGACTACAATGAATGTCACTTTCTCATTCCGTACTTTTGAGGAAAGCGGTCTTCTTGTCTTCCATAAATTCACCTCTTTTGGACACGTTAAGGTTAGATTTATTAGCAATTAAAACGTTATCCAACAGGTCTCTACATAGGTGCAACCTTTATTCGACAAGGGTGGCTTTTGAGATAAGTTTACCTAATTTTTCTCAAGAACTATCAATGCTCAGGAAACAACTCAAACAGCTTTGAAATGCATATAAACTGAGCTTTCTAATAAGCTATATTTTTCAAAATTTGGTCTATGCATCATAAAGTAACCATGGATCTTCTACACTCGCCTCTCCCCAAATTGTGTCCTTTTTTCATGCTCTGCTGCAGCTCGCACAGAAACGTTTCTACAGACGATTTGCTTATTTTACCATCAGAGATTTTAATAGCAAACAAAAATATATGTTTTACGGCAAATAATCCTTGTATATTAATGAAATGATCAGATTTTTATCAAGTTTTAAACATTTTGTTAGCACTGTAAGTGCTAACAAAATGATTTTTATAGATTTTTTAGATTTTTTGAGTGCTATATGATTTTTTATATGTATAGGAAATTCTCCAATACCACCTTCAATTAATATTATGGGCGAATTTTTTTCATTTAAGTCAATTGTTAACTGATCTCTAAACAATATAACAATTCTTTTAATAATAGTAATTATATTTTTAAGATCATTGTATAGAATCATAGATGTTTAAAAGAATGTGGCTATCTGTGAAATCCAGGATTTGCTTGTTTAGTTCAAGTGGGAAAGTCTACTGCACCCACTCTACTCTTCAGACCTAGTGACTCCGACTTTTGACCGCAATGGAGCATTGGCAAAGAATTTTCACTGGGTTATACTGTAGTTTTTGCCGTGTAAAATTCCAAGAGCAAATTAAATTAAGAAGCTCATTGAAAATTTCAAAAAAGCCCTTCTAAAGTGAAAAAAGGCTTATTAAAATTTATCCGGATCAATATTTTATCATTCTTATTTTAATTTTACCTCTGTTGTATTGACAGTTGTATTTGGAGAAAGGCAAAGTAATGATCGAGTTGATGACAGAAGGCAGCCCCAAGGTAGTTCTAGACAACTTTGATGAGACCCTTAATGATGGTAGATGGCATGATGTCATTTTCTCTATCTCAGAAAATAACATGGTATTGAACATCAATAAGCGGCAGGTTATCACAACTCGACTCTTGAAAATCATCACTGGCGTTAAATATATGATTGGAGGTAAACATCTCTCATGTTTTTTTTTCCAATCTCTTTCAATCAACATAAACTTGTGTTCTTTAAATATCATTTTATTTTACTTATTGTTTTGAAAACCAGATATCTTGCTAAGAAACCAAACCAGGTAAATAAGTAAGTCGGAAACAAGAGAAAAACTCCAAACGTGGGCTGAATTGTGAGTAACAAGGTGGTAGATTAGTGCCAGGGCCACACTATTTCGTGGGAAATCAAGGCAAAAAAATTCCAAAAATTTACATCAGTGTTACATCAAAAATTTGGACTCTAATGAGTATCAGTGCAAGATCTGCACTGATCAATTTGCAGAATATTTTAGTATGAATAAGCAAGTCAATAAAGATTGCATAATGGTATGTGTTTACAAGTAACTTAAAATATCTTTCCTGGAGAGGTTTCTCTGAGCTGGCAATGATATGAGCATAACTTTTTGCAAAAAAACCAACCCTTGTGAAGTTAAAACTGAGGAAAGGATGTTTGAAGCTTTCTTCCTTCAGAAAACTTTTCAGGTGTTACATATTTTTCTCAACTTGAAATTTCCAATAAGAGAAGGTGTAGCTGCACTGAAAACTCATTTTAACTTAGTTTTATTTCCTTTCAAAATTTGGGCTAGCAGCACAGCACCTTTCCAATTAACATAGTCTGAACAAAATTAATCCTCAATGAAATGAACGATTCAAATTGTGCATTCAAGACAAGGTTTTGTGTTTTGTGGGAACTATTTTTCAGCCCTCAGTAATTACTGTGTTTTTCCTCTTCTTCACAGGTGGCATCGTTGGTGGAAGCGTTGGCGGATTTATCGGTTGTATGAGACTTATCAAAGTTGATGGTAACTACATACCCCCAACCGATTGGAAGGATGATGTAAGTTTTACTAGTTTTCCTGCAGATAAGACAATAGAGACAGTAACTGCTCCTCTAATAGTTCACTCTGCCGCAAGGCTCATTCGATGAATCTAAACGTATGAATAATATTGAGAGTTCATGCGCATGCCAGAGGTTGAAGGTAGTGTTTGCCTCAAACAGAAATTAGGATGGACTTGATCCCAAGATATTATGTAGTTCCTTTTGGAAAACCATAGTCTCACAAAATGAATGATAAGTCTCTCTGATGACAGATTTTTGTCAGAAACTCTTTTGGCCTTTTTCATTCATACTCATTTGCAGTTTCTACACAAAATCATTTTAATATCTGAAAACTCTTTTATTTGAAGCATTCTCTCTGAACCTCTCTTCACCTTCATTGAACCACCAGACAGATTCTAAAATTGAACACTGCCATATGTTTCACGCTATCAAAATTTTACGTACAGTGCAATGGATACATCAAAACATTCTAAATTTAACTTAAAACTAAGAAAATAATGGTTTTTGTTCATGTTAGTTTACACCTCCCCCTTTCAAAAAACCCGGAATCTGCTCAACTCTGTATTGAACTAATGTCAATATTTCTTTACGATGTAAGAATTTTCCTGGACACTATTTATTTTGACAAGATGAATGAAAATGTGTGTGGAACAATGCTTTAGTTATTTGCCTAACATATCGCTTGATTTCAATGTCTTTTTTGGCTTTCGTTCATTATGGTTTTTTTTGCGAGCAAAATATTTGAATTTACTGTTCATATTGTAAACTGCAATTGTCTATTTCTCACTTTTGTGCCAATTTTGGAGGTTTTTAATATTTTCAATGTATTTTACATGGAATTTGAGAGAGATAATTGGTGTTATTGTGCTTGATTGCTTCCCTGTCTAATGGTCCATTTAAAGTCTATTGTGAATGAGCTATGAGAAATTTTCTCCTACGGTCAGTGCTACGCTAATCAAATGTTCAATCATGCAAAATGTTTAGTATCAACCAACTTACTTTTCTCATACGCTTTTTCTTTCTATCTAGGCATACTGCTGTAAAGGTGAAGTTGTATTCGATGCATGTCAGATGATAGATAGATGTACTCCCAACCCTTGTCAGCATGGAGGAGTTTGTCATCAGAATTCTCTTGAGTTCTTCTGTGATTGCTCTAACACAGGCTATTCGGGCGCTGTCTGTCATACTTGTAAGTTTCATTTTGTCTCCTGAAAGCAAACTTCAACCATCAAACCTTGAATTTCCTTGTTTTGTCAAAACTTAGTATGGCTCTGATTTCATTTGAGCTATCTGCAGAACCTCATTTTGGTACTGAATATTAGTCGTGTGAAAAGCGCTTTCATTCCCAAAATCTTGAGAAATCAGTGATAATCCAAAACTTGTTGATGCAAAACCTGGAGAACTTGAAAAATTTTAAAAGTTTAGGAAACTTGTCGTCCTTCAAATTTGGGATGATCAAATTCTTTTACTACGGGACAGTGCCTGTATTATGTAACATTTTTTTTGCTTTCAAGACCTCCCCTCCCCCCATGTAACACAACATAACACAACTTGAGAACATCCTTTCATCTCTCATAATAAATTAAGTAATGTATAGTCGACATGCTACCTCCCTCCTACATTATTTTCCTAAAAAGCAGAAAAAAGTTCCATTGAAAGTTGTATAAAATCCTAGGCATTTTACTTTAAACTTTAATGAAATACTGCAAAAAAAATGAGGTTACATAAGTGAGGTGATTTACCTCAGTAACATTCTTATTTTGCATTTGCATTTTTGAGGAGGTCGAAAAGGTTATGTAACGCTATGCTTAATCCTCCCCCTCTTTCCCCAGTAACGTAGTACGCTCTGTAATTTAAATTTTATCGGCATGAAATCCTCTAATATCAATTCAACGTAATATAATTTTAATTCCATTTACGTTTTTGCAGCTTTGAATCCATTATCCTGTGAAGCTTTCAAGAATGTCAATCCAGTTGGTTTACGTGCAGACATAAATATCGATGTTGATGGAAGTGGACCTTTGAGACCATTCCCTGTGACATGTGAATACTACAGTAAGTATTGAAGCTCTTCCTGATATTTCTTTCTTTATTCCCATGAAATTATTGGTGAAATACCATCTCAATGTTATGCTACTGAAATTAGTAAAAATTTGCTAATTAGTCAAATAAAAAAAAAAATTATCAAGAAAGTTATTCCTTTAATCTACTTTAACTTTACCATAAACATATTGCGGTTAGACGCATAAATTGTTTAGACAGCATTGGCAATCTAGCCAGTGTGCCTTAAAATTCAGCATAAAACTGGAATTCTCATTATAGATAGAGAAAACTTATTCAAGCAGTTTTTTCACAAAGAGCTATGCAAATTTTAAGAAGTGCAAAGAATTTTGTGATGCAAAAAATTGGTTACGACCAAGCAGGAGAGCAACCATAGAAGTGTTTCAAATAAACTCTGAGTGTTTAGATACAACAGTGTTTTAGAGAAAATATAACCTTTTGGGTTGTTGTGTGCTGTCGAAAGCAATATAGAGGCATGAATTATATTTTTGGATGCCATCTTGACTTTCTTAGTACCCAATGCAGGTCTAAATGAAAGAAACGCAAATCTGAAAGCAATTTTCAAGAGTTAATACCATTCCAAAAATCCAAGAAATATCAGGTAAACTCCGTGCACTCTCTACTTGTCAATAATGCAAGAATTAACAACCATTGAACAAGCTTATTGTTTTATAAAAACAGTTTTTTCATGAAGTTTGATTGAGAACAACTTTCTTCATTTTGCTCTACTTACTAATGAGTCTCTTTCATATGTTTTGCTCTACTTACTCATGAGTTTCTTTCATATTTCAGCGGATGGACGAATTATTACTGTTGTCAGTCACAGTAATGAGGAATTAACACCTGTCGATGGTTTTCAAGAGCCTGGAAAATTCATTCAAGATGTTGTTTACGATGCTGATGTGCACCAAATCCAAGCTCTAATCAACAGATCTTCTTCTTGCCGGCAACGAATTCTTTATCAGTGCAGACAGTCGCATCTCTTCAATTCACCATGTAAGAATTCTATTTACATCCTTTAATACTAAGGATACTATTATATAAATGTAAATGTTAATGTTTAATTCTGTTGTTTACCTTATCAGTGTGTAATATCGAGGAATTTTCATTGATCGTTTTCTATTCAAGATTCATCAAACTTTTGGCTAGACTAATCATCAGTCACCTGTCAAATCATTCAGATCAAAATTTAATCACTATTTTTCAGTGCAGAAAGGTATAGAAGACGTCAACTTGCGCAAAAAAGTGATGAATTCACCACTATATAACAGTTGTGATAGTCGTTGAAAGGCCAGTGGGCTGATTGTCGAAATTGATAGACAAAGCTATAGACAAAGAAGACAAAAAGAATACAGAGGGATCGTATCAGTGGAAGTAGGTGATTGCAATGGACAAAGGTGGAAGGTAATAGACTAACCAACAGCAACCCACAAGAGACTCTATTGTTAGTTCATCATTTACCTCCTCAGTCTCAGTCTATAAAAACCACCCATTTCAAGCAACAGGATCGCTCCATACTATCCCTATGTCTTCTTTATCTATTGCTTTGTCTATCAATTTCAACTATCAGTCTGCAGGCTAGCCTTATAGAATGTTTTCTCTTCCTTCACATAACAATTTTGGTGAAGGTATGTAATTTTAACAAAAATATATCATGTTATTTTGAGTAATATCAATTTTACCATGCTGAACAGGCTGTCGTCCATGAAGTCTATCAATTTTAGAAAGTTTGAAAATAGGTGTGATTCTACATTATTTATTTGATCATCCCTATTTTTCCCCTGATCTGATTACATTCTTCTTTTTCAGACCAAGAAGGATCCGAGTTTCAACCATTTTCATGGTGGGTGTCCCGAAACAACCAGAAGATGGACTACTGGGGAGGCTCCTTACCTGGATCTCGCAAATGTGCTTGTGGTATTCTTGGACAGTGTGCTGACTCAACAAAATGGTGTAACTGTGATGCCGGTTTAGCAGGTTGGTTCGAAGATGGTGGTGATATCATGGAAAAGGAACATTTACCAGTGAAGCAACTGCGGTTTGGCGATACTGGGAGTCCTCTCGATGATAAAGAAGGGCGGTACACTTTAGGACCTCTATTATGTGAAGGAGATGACATATTCAACAATGTAGTTACATTCAGAATAATAGATGCATCAATCGATTTACCCACTTTTGATTTTGGTCATAGTGGAGATATATACTTTGAATTTAAAACAACCATCCCAAATGCTGTTTTGATTCACTCAAAAGGACCAACAGACTACATAAAGGTCAGTATTCTCGATGGTAACAAACTCATCTTCAACTATCAAGCAGGAAGTGGACCATTGGGTGTGAACATAGAAGCTACCAACCGTCTTGCTGATAATAATTGGCATACTGTTTTAATCGAAAGGAATCGTAAAGAAGCCAGAATCGTTGTTGACGGAGCCTTGAAAGCTGAAGTACGTGAACCGCCAGGTCCTGTTAGAGCCTTACACCTCACATCACCTCTTGTCATAGGGTCCACAGTTGATTACCGTGACGGGTACACTGGTTGCATGCGCGCCTTGATGCTAGATGGAAGGATGGTGGATTTGAGGTCTTATGCTGAAAGAGGGTTATATGGTATTTCCCCTGGGTGTATCGGCAAATGTGAAAGTAATCCCTGCTTGAACAACGGTACTTGTTTTGAAAAGTACGACAGCTACGAGTGTGACTGCCGTTGGACTGCCTTTAAAGGTCCCATTTGTGCTGATGAAATTGGTGTCAATCTTCGACCGAGCTCATTAATCAAGTATGACTTTATGGGTTCATGGAGATCAACAATTGCTGAAAATATTCGGGTTGGATTTACGACCACCAACCCCAAAGGATTCTTACTCGGACTTTTCTCAAACATCTCTGGAGAATACATGACTATAATGGTTTCTAACAGTGGTCATCTTCGAGTTGTCTTTGATTTTGGTTTTGAGAGGCAGGAACTTATTTTTCCCAACAAAAATTTCGGTCTCGGACAATACCATGATGTCAGAATCTCAAGAAAAAATTCAGGTGCAACTCTTGTCATGCAAGTAGATTCTTATGAACCAATGGAGTTCAACTTTAACATTAAAGCTTCCGCCGATGCACAGTTTAATAATATCCAGTATATGTACATAGGTCGAAATGAGTCTATGACAGAAGGCTTCATTGGGTGTATTTCTAGGGTTGAATTTGATGATATCTATCCCCTCAAGTTAATGTTCCAACAAGATGGTCCTGCTAATGTACACTCTTTAGGTTCACCTCTCTCAGAAGACTTTTGCGGTGTGGAACCTATAACTCATCCTCCCAACCGCGTAGAAACACGTCCACCACCACTACTAGATCAAGATAAATTAAAGCGAGCTTATAACCGAACGGATTCGGCTGTTTTAGGCGGAGCTTTACTTATATTGTTTTTAATTTTAGTAGTGTTATTGGTAGCGGCAGGACGCTATATCGCCAGGCATCAGGGCGAGTATGTTACACAGGAAGATCATGGTGCAGACATGGCGTTAGATCCGGACACTGCTGTTGTAGAGTCTGCAACAGGACATCAAGTGCAGAAGAAACGGGAATGGTTTATATAAGTTTTGACTGATACTGAGACTGAAAAAATACTCCGGTTTTCTAGGTTCCATTCATTCTTAACATTTGAGGAAGATTTATAAAAAAATACCATAATCTCTTATTTCTTAACTTAATGTGTGAATTGGCCACATCTCATTATTATTTATCAAGCAAATCTTAAACAAGATGGAAGATGAAACCATTTTAGTGCCTTGTGAAATCTTGCCATGACACAAAAATCACCAATAAATAAAGCTAAGGACATTTTCTTTCACAGCTTCGCATAAGTTCCCAAGGGGGTGACCAAGTCTCAGGTGGCTTGTTTTAAGCAAGGAACACACTTAGTATGTGCAATCATTGTCATGTAAGATCATCTAAACTTGAAGTCTCTTTTAAACCTATCATTGAACTATAAGTATTAAGTTTTTTTTATCATACAAGTAAGGAATCAACTTCTTTGCATCCGTCAAAAAAAGTGTAGTTTTTAAGTACATCTGCATTGTCAAGTGTAGAGACTTTCCAAAATTCAAGCCAAACCCACACGTATTCCTTACTTAACAGTAGGCACAGGCTTAACAATCTGCTATATGCAGTCTAAGCTGAACAGAAACCTCTGCCGAGGTAGCGTGAAGTACGGCTCTTAACTTGTTTACTGCAGTGGAGGTCATTGACGATCACCACAGTTTCACCAGCATGTCATGTCAGGAAATCAAACAAGTTGAAATTTAGTTACTTTAAGTCTGGTTAAATACGTTTCATCAGTGATACTTTAGATTCTACGGGTCCGAGAACTTCAATGAACAATGGCAAAAGAATATCAAAATCCATTTTCTTTTTCTAAGTCCATTATCATATCTAACAGATACACTCAAAACGTCTAATTTAATGAGGCATCCAGACCTTGTAGAATTTAACTGAATGTAGAATTCTGAGACTGTTGTAACTGACCGATTTATCATGTAACCTCTAAAAATATTTTGCCAGGAAGTCACTTGTAACCTCAGGCTTGATGATATTATTCCAGAAAATTCCATAGCAGTGAACATTTCAAGATATCATCAAGTACCGTTCATCATCAACTGATGAAGCTAATGTGGTCGAACTACTAGAGCATCACCAAAAGTGCTAATATGCAATGATCAAATTCTGTTTGCATGCAGAAGGCAAAAACACATCGGGCAATAAAGCTGGAAATGCACCTAAAGATTTTCAATGAGCCTCTTTGCCAGCAACGGAATGCAATTTATTTATTTATAGTTATGAAATGACATTCGTGTGATATTTTCCACAAATTTTAGGAATTAATATATACATTATTCATGGTGTGTTTGACCAATAAAAAATTATTTGGAAATTATAAAAAATTATATAGTGAGTTGGAAGATCTTGTGCAAAACTTTCTTTCATGAATCTCTGTTTTTTGTTAAGTGTTTTTACTCCTTCTTTAAAAGTTTTAATCAGTTACTCTCCCCCTTATATTATTTTCTTACCATGTTTTTGGTAGTTTGTATCTTAACAAATGAATGCTCTTGACAAGGATCTGTTTTAGTAAGCCTGACGAATTATTTTACCACTGACTCAAATTTGGAACATGATGTATGCCTTTGAAAATCATATTATCAGATCTAAAGAAAATTTCTTTAATTTTTCAATTATTCCTGTACCAGGCTGAAAATGCAGGTGTCATAATATTTTCCTTGCAATTGAAAATCTGGTATTATTATGTTTATTCATCCACCTTTTTCTCTATTTGCTCTTCTCTTTTCCTTCTAAAATTTTTGAATACGTTATTGGGGATTCATATCATCAAAAAATTTGTGTACTAAATACATTTACAGTAATACAATAAAGTAAGCAAATATACCTGTAATGAATTATTTTCAAAAGAATTTACAGATCAACTCATTGGTAAATTTTTCAGTAACTCAAAACCATCATTTTACCCAAGTATCACTCGTCTAAGTTATCAATCCGTTTTTCATCTACAATCATTGTTCTTATTTCAATATTTTTATTAATGGGAGCTGGGTGCGTGAAAGATGTTCTTATTCATTCGTTTAAAGATGTCTAAAAATGCCTATCATTTTTTCAATATTTAAGTTTTTTTTCTATTTTATTGAATTCATTTAATTTTAGTGCTTTTGATGAGACATGATTAATATGACCACATATTGGAAATATTGATTTTTCTCAATACTGAGCCCTTAATTTATCTTTTCGCCTATCAGCTATTCCTGATGCAAATATATAACTCTGATTCCAGTAAATATATTTTATTGCAAGTGCAATAGTTTAAAACTTTCTTAAGACTTAACCAAGGAATCAAAAAATGTGATAGAAATTCCTTGTTTGTTGAAACATTGTGCAGTGAAATGCACTAATTCTTTCAATGCATCCTTTAAAAAAACTTTGAATGTTTTACTGCTTCAGTTTTTCATTTTTGATTCAAAGCTTTTCCTACTTAATAGAGACTAGCTCCTGTTATCCGTGTAACTACTCTAACTCAAATGTGTCCATGTAATTAACTGATTTTTGGGTTACCACAAAACTTTAAAAGTTTTTTCTCTTTTTCTTTTTTCATCCTTCCCTGTAAAATTGATATGTATTTTTATACTTCCTGCCCTTAAGGATTACTCCATATTTGTTGTACTCAAGTTAATCATGAATAGTTTTGACATTTAAAGCAATTTAAAGGATCTTGAAAAAAGTATGTGCACTTATACTTAGTTTTTCCTTTTTCTGGTCTTTCTAAAAAAAAAAATTAATCATAATTTTTTTTGTTTCAACTCATTCATTGATTAACCCTATCACATTGCATTTTTCATCTTAAAATTATAATGACCAATGATTATTATTTTGGTCTGTTGAAATCAAAAACTTTAAAGAATTTATACATGATGCAATGTAGGTTATCTATATCTTGTTCGGCTGAAATTTAGTGCCTTTTATATTGAAATTGTCTTAAATACTGCTTAAAATTGTTTGCTTTATTATCCCCAAAGCCCTTGCTCTCCATCAAAGAATCTGATAAAAGCCTGTTTTCAGCAAAGCTTCCCTAAAAGTGATGAAGAGACTATAGCTGTGATTTTCTTCATAGTAAATGCTGAGTATTTACTGCGTAGATTTTTGAACTGCTACTGCTTTCAGTTGCAACGTGATCCAATCTGGTAGACCCTTCAATGGTTGTTTTCATGACGCAGAAAATAAAAAAAAATTCAATAAGATTTTAGCCAGTATACATTTTGGGAATGCTCTGGCAAAGTAACAGTTCAAATTATAGTGGCTAATCAAAGTTGCCTGTATCAAAAACGAACTTTTCATTCGAAAGTGAGCTTTGCTATCAGTTTTTTTGTTGTACTTCTGGGTTTTCAAAGTTTTTTGAATGCTGACCAAGCGACATCCTAAGAATCTCGTGTTCATATTAGGCACATGAAATTAGACTCTCAGACAATTAAAAAATTATTGATATAAGTTTCTCTGTAGAAAGTGTAATATTTTTTAACATTCCGTCCATTTTTGTTGCTCTATTTCTTGTTTAAGTTTAGTCAATGTTTGACCTTCAACGGATTTTTTATAATAGATTTTTGTAAAATAATGTGTATATGTAAGTGTCTCGATACTTTTGAAAAGATTGTACATAAGTTAAATACTTAGATGATCAGCTGCTTTGAATTTTTTTTTTTCCCAAGTATTTTTCTAATTATTTTGAAGGGAAGAATCACCAAACACTTGTACGAAGTCTACATTTGTATTTTTTCCTCCAGAGAGTTGAATTTCAGATCTGATCACTCTAACTTCATATCTCCCCACGATATTTTTGTGCAGCAGCTTTGTTTTTATTTTTACCTTTCATTCCGTCCAGTAGTCATACTTTGTATCAAAGTATTTGTCGAGGGTTATTTCGCTTAAGCAACTCGAAAATATTTTGTTCTGTATTGAAAGTAATTTCATTTTGAAATCAGATCTCAGTCATAATATGTTTTGATTTCTCTTTTCTTTTTACTTTTACATTTTTGTAGATACACCATTAAAGCACCAATGTCTTCACAACCAAGCTGCCACATATTAAACTCAAAAATCAAAGCAATATTTTTTCACTGCAAATAAGATGAGTAGAATTTTGAATTTTTGGGAGAAAAATTTGAGCACCTCTCAAGTAAAACCGGCCATGTTGAGAGTATGGCTGAAAAACTGAAAGCCTTTTTTTTTCACCCAAAGCACCTATATGACACAAAGGTCATAAGCAGGCAGTTGAGTATCGTTCAAGATTTTGCTAGATGAAAGATGTGCCATTTATCAAGCATGCTCCTTCCTTTGGCCCACAAATTGAATTAACTCTTAAGATACTCCAGATTTTTCAAATCCTGTTTTTCCAACGAAGTTTGAAGTATTTCCTTATTTGCAGTAAAATTATATGTGGAAGAATGTAAAACTTGATGCATGAAAATCTGTATCAAATACAAGTATAGGTTAAGTTACCGTCAGCTGCCTTTCTACAAAAATTAAAACAAAGCATTCAACCTGTCTTAAATCAACATTTATTTATTTCTACTTTTTTATTTTTCTATTGTGAATTATATTTTTCTTTTAAATACATACATGTACATCTCCATTGAATTGGTTTTCAATTTCATATGTCAACCGAATTTTAATTTTCTCAAGATCCAAAAAGTTGTAAAAATCGAACCTTGATACTTACACTCGACGTGCCTCGTAAAAAATGTTCCTACCCTCTTGAACTGCAGTCCAGAACAGTGAATGAGCATTCACTCAACAAAGTAACAAACCTCATTTTGATGTTAAGAAAAAACGAAAACTTCAACAATTTTAGAACCCATGTGTCTGTCTGAAGATAGAGCTCATACTTATGTTCTCCATTGCTGTCTCAAAGGAATGCGTACTCAGAGGTCATGGAGTTACAATATTCCATAAAAAAAGGAGAATGCTGAAATAGAATTGATGCTTCATAACAATAGTAAGCTGGATCTAATTCTAGCCTATAGCAAATTCACCGCAAAATTCTCCACCTTAAAAATCGAAAAAAACTAGTATGAATGCCAATCATGTACTTCAGCCTGTCTTAAAACAATTCATCACATCATCTTAAGTTTTGACTAGTTCTTCCTACTTAGATGTCACGAATCAATAACAATTGCTAGCTCTCCTGTGACTAGTTGCTCCATAAATTAAAATATTAAAATTATTCTATAAATTACTTGTGCTGTATAACATTTTATTCATCAAGACGGTAGGCACCCATGATTAACGCAATCCAAATTCAAGAGTAAACAATTAAGTATTGCTTTTACAGCCATCATATTTATGGTAAGAATGGTAGGTAGTCTATTAATCGTATTGATTGAAGTACATTTGCTGTCTCTTTTCAGAAGAATCCAAAGCAAGCAGCAATTGGCTGGAATAAGTCTCGTATAGATAGGAGAATGTTAAAAAGAAATACTGAGATTGGTTGAATAAGGCTATTAAAGGTAGTGACTAAGACAGGTTTGATGGCATAATCAGAACTTATTTGACTAAAACCTCTAATCATGTGACGAATCAATTTGTAAAGGAGAAATTTATATAGTTGAAGAAAAAAACTTGTTACGAAAGTTAGTATAATGAATATTACCCCAAAAATTTTAGCCCAAAACTGCGACGCCTTTCTTTCAGCAGCCCATAAAATTTTGTCTAATTTCAGTGTGCATGTCGTGTCGGTTGTGCCGAGATAGTTGGTGTTTCCATGATTAAAATAGTACAACTCTAGCTTTCTTCTACTCTGTTTTTTGACGCCCTTGCATCTTGATCCGCTTTTTAGATATGCTGAGCGAGTTTTGAAATTTCGACAATTCTTACATTTTCCGAAATGGTATTTATTGTTCTGTTTGTTGTCAGATTTTAGTTTTTCTTTTTCACTATTTCGAAGAGGGGAAATTAAAGTAAAGTTATTGAAACCGATAATATTTTCATTTTTATGATCATGAATAAATGCATCGTACTTAGAGTCCCCATGATCAAGTCTGGAAAGACATGAGCTCTGCCATTTGTCCTCCAATGTCAAGTCTAATGATTTGTCTGACATCCATTGCTATGGAACATGGGAGCAATCATCGCTCTCATAACGCTTAGTAAAGGGAGCTTTTAAGAATTTGCCTGTTTTCTCAACCAAGTAAGATAAAATTGGTCTTCGGCTCTCAGAAGCTTTGTGATAGTGTAGGTTTTCTGTTTTACTCAATACTTCCGTTCGCTGCAGTTCATTGAAGCATTGGCTTTCTTTACCCTAATCACCGATTCACCATCATTTAACTTCATTTCCAAGAGTGACTTATTATATTCTATATACTAAAAAAAGTCGTTGTTTACGTGCATTCAGTCTACATCCAAGTCGGTGTGAGTTTCTCAAAGACCTTATTTCAACTGGTCATTTTCAAAGGTTCATGGTGTAAGTCAGGAAACATCTGTGTGAATAAACTCAACTTTTTCAGTATATTTATCATCTACTTACTTTTCTCTTAAAATTTTTAAGTTAGGCGAAATATTCTCAGGAAGTTTAACTCTTTATTTAAATAATTATATGCCCCTCTGACTTTTCAGGCTAAGGGCTCAAAGCTGCTTTTATAATCGTGGCAGGTCAAGGTTTGTAGCGGGCAATCAAGACAAAAAGTTTTACTTTACTACCCCTTGAGAAGATTGTCAATTTCATTGAAGAAATCATGATCTTTTGTAAAAAGAAAAATTCTATTTGATGCTACATTTGAAAGTAAAGTGTGAATGTGGACTGCTGGATGGCTGACGGCCGATTAAAGCATTGCCGCAGATTTAAATTAAACCGCGGAATTTTGAACATGAATGCAGCTGATAGGTCCTTTTTTTATGACGTCAGTACATATTTCCCGCGCTCTAAACATGCAAACAATACAAAATAAGTGAGGTTAGAATGCAACTAAAAGGTGCAACGGGTGCAACTGCACTGACGAATTAAATTATCAAATGAATTGAATATTTTATTATTGTTCTCGTCGTTGTTTCCGGTTCATCATCATGTTTTATCACTATTGTCCGCGCACAGTTTTGTTTTTTTCGCTTTTTCCTCTGTAATTTCCATGTGCCAGTACAGTTCACCTTTTCACCATGTCCTGTGAGGGAGTCATAACACCTCCAATGACTCCTCCTAAAAGCCACCATTCTAATGATGATTCCTTCATGAAATCTGCGGAGGCCTTCTCCCGTAAGTAGATTCTTCGAAAATCATTTATTGGATTCAACAAGCTCTTAACCTCCATCAATACGAAGCCTTAGGTGCGTTGTCAAAGCAAATTTGTCCGACACTGTTTGGTTCTCCTGTGAACGAAATACAACTCAACTGCACCATTGATCTCTTGAGATCGTTGAACGTTTGGTAGAAACGTTGGGCATGCACATGTAGACACGCAAGTAATCAAACAATTCAAGTACAGTCAAACAATGTTGACCGTTTGGCATTGGATAATTTGGTTAGTGAACTGTCGCGAACAGTTTACTTTGGCAATGCACCAATGCTGAGACTGAATTCCTTTATTTTAGATGCACTTTTGATGTGGAGCAGAAAGTCGTCACATACTGATTAACCCGTCCAACATCATCAAATTTAATTGGATGTCTCTTCAAGTCCATCAATGCCTCAACCACAAGACCTTACTTGCTGGGCTGATGCGTTGAGGATTAAGCTACCACTGACTTAAGTACAGGCAAAGCTTTAGAACCTGAAATCGGTACTGTGCTTCCAGTCAGTTTTTGGTACCGTAGTGGAACTGGAGAACCTTAAAACTTAAAAATCTCACATCATAGATCCATTGGTATATTTTCCCAAAATGCCCAACTAGATCTGACTGCACTTACTTGCTAGAAACGAATGTTTCACATGATGATGGCTGTGGACTATTTTCCTGTGTCAAATCTCTCAGCTAAAAGTCTTCTAGACCACAACATTTTTTTCTACAGGAAAAACTTTACAGGTAACTTGTGAAAATTTCAGAACTTGGTTGCTGACTCTTCTTGCAGAATTGCCACTGCAATTGTTGCCGTGACATTTCCTTTCAGGATCACTGCCGGCCACGAATTGGGAGGGGAGAGTTATAGCTTTCTGAACTATTCAAACGTTCCGTAATGTAGCCTATGACCCTGCTTTTACTGCACCCCTGAAATCCTGTATGTATTGCAATCTTGACCTTGAATAATTTCATCCCAAGTACTTAAAATTGCCAATCGATGAAGACAATCTTTCAATGACTCTCAAACTTAGCACTGAAAGAATGCAAGGTTAGAGTCATTCCAAGGGATATCTGTCAGTTGAGAGGGCCGAACAAGTGAAAACTTCTCAAATTTTTATGTTAACCTCTCCATTCTAGTTTGCCTAAGTATTTGTTTCAGCTGAAATAAAAGACCAGGAAGAACAAGGGTTTGTTTGTCAAGGGAGAGTAGACCAAGATTACGCATCTTTAGCATCTTCACTCATCCAGAGCAAGTCTGGTGATCTCAGTCTTTTTCTTCATGGTCTGAATGCTGCAGCTAAGCCTCCTGAACAGAACTCTGTTGTTAAAATTCAACTGTTTGGACGGTGGTTTGATAGAGGCAGTGCTCTTATTGAGCGAACAGATTACTTATTCCAGAATGTCAGGTAATTTAAAGCATTTATTAAATTTAGATCCCTTTAGATTCATGTGTCTGAAGTTAAAACTGATTCTTCAGCCTAAGTCCTAAATTGGCTCATTTAACTTTAATCATACTTAAATCTCAAAACTGTGTCAAAAGCAATTATCGTAACAGCTCCTTTAAACAGTATTAGGTGCTTCATTCATGGTTATATAGAGATGACATCGTAGCTTTTATCCATCCTAAATTGGACCGCATTTAACAGAAAGGAACCAAGCCACATCAGCTGTTGCCAAATTTGAGTGGGAAATTTAATTTTTTACGAGAGAACGTTTGTGCGGATTCATCTGAAAATTTCAAGGAATTTGCTTTGTACTATAGCGAAAATTCACTGAAATTCGCATTAAAATCCGCACAACCGTTTTCATGTAAAATATTAAAGTTCCCGGTTAAATTTGGCAATAGCTGATGTGGCTTGGTTCCTTTCTGTTTAACGCGGTCCAGTTGTCTATTCTAATTTTTAAATTTCTTTTCTAGGAAAATACTTCTGGAACTAGACCGAACAGCCCATCCTCATAAATCTGCAGGAATTTTGAACAATGGTGAAGAAAGGTATCGGCGCTACCGCATCAAAGAGCGTAAATTCAGAATTACAACCAGTATAAAGAAAGTGCTGGATTATGCAGCCCTACGTAAAGAGATCATTGAATTCTGTTTGTATGTCCGAAATTACATTCTGAGGTAAGTGTGCTCATTTTCTGCGCAGCCTTTAGTTGTCAATATTAAAATGAGGATCTTACCAAAATTTCTACTTCTTATTCTCTTAAGAACTGAAACACATTTTTTGAGGTGGAAGCTTAAGCCCAAGTGTCTCGATTGGAAATGTTTGGTCACGATATTAAGGAAAAATAATTACTCAATATTATCCCTTGGAATTCTTACAGAATGTTCTTCGTGTTTTAGAATTTTTGGGTAAGGAAATAAATCAATATCAGATATTTTTCTTATCAATTTTGAAAACCCATTGCAGTCAATCAATTAGGCATTGAGGGTGTCTGTCAATGGTTTTCGTTTGAAAGATTTTTCCATTTTTTTATAGAAGTGATATTATTATGAGTTAAACGTACTTCATAATGAAAAAAGAAAGTCTTGATCAAGAGGCAAATGGTACAAAGCTAATTTTTTATCGTTTAATTGCAATGGTGTGAATCTCCAAACATTTTCCTTCATTTTTCCTTTCATTTTCATTCCTCATTTTATTTTTGCCTTGGCTACTTACTAAAATTTCTTACAGCAATTGTAAGTAATGGTCACAAATGATTTTTAAAATATTAATCTCTGTCTCCTATTTTTTAAAATTCAAGTCAAACCTGTTCATAACAAACTCACTTTGTACAAAATCCAGTTTTTTTTGTCACTCTGAGGCTGTTATCACTATGCATGTGTGTGTTATCTCAGGCATGTTTCAACATAATTCTGTATTTAAATAATTAAAATTGGCCACCTGAGGCTTTCTTTTACATGGGTTAGACTGTAACTAGTGATTAATGAAATTCAACTCAGTTCCTTTCTGTTTATTTTAATGAACAGGTATACTATGAAATTATGGATCCTTGAAAAAATGTTTTCTTTTACAGGCTTCATCGCTATGCCGAAGGGTCCGAAATAATCAGTGAATTGGTTTCTAGTCTTGTCAAACACATTTCTTCACTTCATCATATTTTAGATTTTCTCAGCCCGCATCCGGGATATGTTTTTGAAGGAGCCTCCTCAAAAAATACGGTAACATATTTTGGTATTGATAAAGTGAAGCTCCTCAAGAGTTTCTTTTTCCTACTGTGAGAAGCTTACACATCTTTAAATTTTGTTGGGACTTAAAATTTTCACATGCGCTAAAATAATCTTAGTTGGCTGGTAGATACAGGTACATTTATTCAAAGGTGCTGTAAAAAACATTAAGTCAAAAACACTCTAAAAACAGGGTGTCTAGCATCAGGATTTAAGATCAGGATTTCTATCAGGATTTGAGGAAAAATCTGTCATAAAATCAGGATTTGAGAAAAGTCGGCCGTCTGCTTATTGTCCGTCAATTATCCGCTACCTGTCCGTCAATTTTTCTCTGCAAAAAATCAGGATCTGGAAAAATTATGAAATCAGGATTTAGCAGTTAAAAATCAGGATTTCCCAAAATGAAAAAAAACTAGGCACCTTGAAAAATTTAGGGAGATCCAAAATGCCTAATCATTTAAAGTGAGTTATCTTTCAGAAAGTAGTATACCAGCATTTTCTACGCCCGTATAAAAATTCTTTGCATCTATGAAAAATTTTAATTTGTGCCTAAAGTTGATGTGAGGGAAACTCTTTGCAGAAGTATTTTTAATTGCAGTCTTTTGTAAAAATGATTTGATTTATTTATTCTTTTGCTTTTTACACATTTGGCCTCACAAAAACGTCATTTTCAGAATAAAGATACTTACATAAACATAATTTCATACACTTCGTCTTAGGGTAATTATTCAATGTTATTAATATTATTACACCTATATTCGTATACAATTCTTCTCATAATGAGAATTCACAATTCTTTATCTAAAAATTCATTGATTGAAATGTTTGAACCTAGCTAAACATGCTCTTTTCAACAGGATCTACTGAATGAACATCACTTATGTCATCTTCAGTTAGATTTGCAGTGGCTCTTAATCACAATTGTGTACGTTATTGTGATTTTGGAAGAAGAATTGCTAGCAAATGCACAAACAGAACAACCTCACCAGCATTCAAGTTCTCCCCAAATGGCTGCCTCTCCAAAGACATCAGAGATAAAAGATAATGAAGAAATCAGCTTGGAACTCCTAGATCGAATCATTGACCGCCTTTTAAGGGAACTAATTCAACTCTCTGCTACCAAATTCAGAAACGTAAGAGCAGCTTTTATTGTAAAACTTGTAATCTTGATCTACAGGCTTAAAGATTCACTGATCAAACTAGGAAATGTAACAGTGCTCCCATTGGTCAATGGTACCACGTAACGTTCACTTACAGAACCACCTTGAAATTTCTAAAAAAGCAGGATTGGTCAGGAATGCTAGGTTTTCACTTGTTTTACACCTAAAATATTGATGTAATGAAAGCTCAATTCAGCAGATTTTAGGCACCGCTTAAAAATCTGATAAACCAATCAGGCCGCTTAATCAGAAAGTCAGCTTCCTTGTGGCAATATTGTTGAAACAAAAGTCCAATTTTGTTTGTTTTCTTGTTTGCAATCTGGTCCAGTAGTTCATCTGCCGTTAATTGTCAGCTAAAATTGAATCAAAGCAACCCATTTAAGCTCACGAGAGGACTTTAGTCACCTCTTATCAGGTCTAAAAACATCAAGTTCAGGAAATTTGTAGGAATCGTTCCTGCTACTCTTTTATCACTTAAAACCTCGACATCTGAAGACTCTCATCCATTTTACAAGACAAAGTAATTTTTAGTGAAAACCATTTTATGTTTTCAGATCAAGGATAGTCTATTGAGTGCGGCTCCATTTAGTTGTAGCTGCATTTTTCATCTATGGATTCTCCTGTACCCTGTCATAACAGTCGTGCATAAAAAGTTTAAAGTGAAGGTAAGTATTGCAGTTATATTTTCTGATATATGTGCATATTTGTATATCACAAGAATAATTTTTCGATTGCAAGGCAAGAATGTGAATGCATGGGATGAGATTCATTGAATGTATTTTGGAGCATTGAAAGGGACTCTTTGGATGCATATCATGGAGGGGGGAGGCACATCCACTTGTGGAAGCATGACATGCCGTAAAGTAAAAAATAGTGTATTTTCTTTGGAAAATACACTATAAATTCTAATTAAGACCCTTTGGGTACAGGGAAAAGTTTTAATCTCATGGAGAAAGCATGCAGTGAATATGGCAGGAGCTCTCAGGAAATGAGATCAGATGTTTAGAATTCGAGAACTTTGTCTGCTTTCATGTAGAGACAGGGATAGGAAAATGTTTCGATTTCATGAGAAAAATATATCAAACGCAAGTGACGCATATGCCTCCCCAGAATGAAATTCATCGAATGCATTCGCTTCCATTGAACTGTGCATTGTGCGGGTCGGATGCTTGTTTCAATAAACTCCTTCTTTCGCTCTGCTTTGTCAATGGCATTGATGATGTTCAATACCATCATCGAAGGTCCCCTGTTCCATCACTGTATATTTTTAACCAGAATGAGTTTATCAAAAGGAAACCAACTCTTGTGGGTTACCTTAGAAATGTTACACCCACCTTTCACTATCTCATTCAAATACATGATTGCTTGAGCTACTGAGTTTTGTCAACTCAGTTTTTCTCTGCTCCATTGTGTCCAATTTAGCCCGAAAATTTTATTTTTGTCAAAATGTTGTGAACTTCTCATATCCCTGTATTGTACACCTCTAGTTAATGCATAGAGTATTGTTTGCCTCTGTTTCAGTCTTTTTGGGACCGCATCAACGAAATATTCAGCAGAATGTTGGAGTTGCACCGACCAAAGAGTGCTAATGAAAGCACTGTTGCAGCGGCCAATTTGAAGACTTTCAATGAGTCATCTTTACCTGTTTTAGATGAATGGATGAATTTCTATCCGTACATATTTTGGATGCTTCTCCATATCACCAAAGCACAGTATGCCTCCAATTTATCTGAATTCGTAAGTCAATTTTGCATGAAAAAAAAAATAATAAGTAATCTCAGATCACAATTATTTACGCTAGCTTTATTTAAATCTATATTTTGCAAATATGCATCTGTTCAGCATTGGATAGTATCCCTTATCAGTAATAAAGCTGTAAAGGGTACAGAGTAGCTTGGCTTCCCGTCTTAAAGACAGGGAGATTAGTGCGTTCCTTAATTTTGAATTTTGCACATTATAAGTAGGTCAACTCCTAGTTAGTTTTTATTTAGTGTAGGGAAACATACTTTTCCTAGCAAAAATCTCAAAAAATTTACCCGCAGCCTAAGCAAATGGAAAGGTTCAAGGTTGTGATGAGTTTTTGCTGTTGTTGTATGAATCTATTTCTTCATGAAGTGCTGAGTCGTTGCTCCGGAAAATTTTGACTGAATTAATTTATTTTCAACAGAAAGCCCTAAGCAGTCACTTTAGGGTGTAGAAACTTTCCATTAGGATGCTCTTCTCGGCCGAGTGATGAATATTGGCTGATGGAGAGTTGCCTAAAGTGAAACCCCACAGGATTTCCCAAGTTACATGATGAACATTTCAATCCACTCACCCCATCGTCTACTGTTCAGCCATCCATAACAATTCTTTTTAGGGTAATGCAGGCTATTTATTTGTGTAAAAAACACTTTGCGCTGTGTGATTTGGTTATGTGCTTGAATTTTTACTTTCATTTTGGAGGCTGCTCTTCAAATCACACGATTATTGTCTGAGAGAGAGTCCCACCATTTATTGAGCCTCTATTCCTTTGAATTTGCGAGTGAGTCAATGAAATGAAATGGTGTCAAGAGTCCCCCATGTAATTAGAATTTCTTCGTCACAAACTTAAATAGATGTTACTGCTGAGGATCTTGACACCTTTTCCGTAAGCACCATTCATTTTTCCCCAGAAGAAGTCAAAATAGGATATCCCAGAAGAAGAGATACGTGCAAAAATCTCAAAATGTTTCAGTTTTACATTGTTTATTACCCAGCTTTTTCCCTGCTTCAAGTTTTTTTTCTATCGTAAATTCCACCATTTGAAGGCTCCTTTTTTCAAGCACACCCAATTCACGGTCTTTTCTAATGGTTGAATGTTTCTTGTGGTGCTTCTGTCGTAATTATCTGTAAATGTGTACAAATATCATGTTTTTCAAATTAATATAATATTGAACAAAAATTGATCCTTTCCTCACTGATTCTTCTGCATTAAAATATTTTTAGAGTCTTGAAAGAATTTTGCCTTGTTTTCTCATTGCAATGAGCTCTTCACTTCTGAAATCTGAAAAAATCTGAGCTGAGCAGCACGATTTCTTATTGTCTGTGTTACAGAAAGTAGAAAGTAACTATCCACTTCTAGAGAAGATCTTAACGGGCTCTTTGGAGGAAGGAAATGTCAGGCCTTCTCAGCTAAGAGAGTGTCTAGCCATAACAGAAATTTTAACCACTGAGTATTGGGAGCCAAATTCAAGCGCTGTTCTCATTTTGTGGGATTATTTTCACCGGACGATTGATCAAGGCATGTTCCTAATCCAAGGGGAGCAGCTTCAAAATCAGTGGATACTCAGGTTAGTTACTCATGTTGCCACCCTTTTTTCTGTTTTTTTTTTTTTTTTTAATTTGATTTAAATGTATGTATAAACACAAGAATATAAATAAATAAAATAAACATTTGATTGACTAGATAAAAGGGACCATTACCATAAAATTGTTCTGTGACTGTGAAAATATAACTAGAAATTTTCAATGCTCTATCAGGAACCATTCATCATGTATGTAATGCTAAAAACTAATTTATACTCCCCCTTCCCCACTCCTATGCACCTGAAACAAAAGTCCATACCTCCTAAAAAATGTGAAAAATTTCTCTAGTCCCCTTCCTCCAAAGTGGGAACATTCCTAACAAATCTTAGGTTTTCCTCCATTTTTGTTTTATTTGAGAAAAAAAAAATAACAGAAGCGATGATTAGGGAAAATAGTAAAGACAAAATAAGTCGTCGAAACACTTTTTGATCATGAATTTCTGATGAAAAATGTTGATCTTGACATACTGCTGATGCTGTTGCCAAGTGTTTGAGAATTCTTGCTAGCTCAAACCCATGTTGCCTCGGGTTCTACTTAATGTATTATCAGTGAAGTCTTTTATTTTATTGGTATATCTATTGAATTGCCCAAATTGCGGGCTTTTTAGGGCCAACTTTTTATTTTCTTCTCACCTTTTATCGTTTCCTTTCAAGAAAAAGTGGTGAACGCTGAGTCAATAGAATACAGAACCGGGTACAGTAAATCTGCCTTTTCTCAAAAACCGATTCGTCAAATTGTCCAATTTTTTGCTCTCCAGCAAGCTGAATCCATGTCCGCTCCATCATGGTTTGATTCTCTTCTCCTAGCGTGGATGGTTTCCAAAAAAAGAGAGCATAGTTTCATTAACTTATAAATCCACCTTTTTAATTTCAAGCCTCAAATTCAATTTTGATGAGACTCTCTACTTGCAATGTTCAAGACATTCAAGAGCGAGTTCAATTTAGTAACGTAAGAGATCTTTCTCCCTGGATATCTTAAACTTGAGTAGTCCTCTAGTGTTGCGCTGGTAACTTTTTCCAGTCTCAAATTATTAATCTTAATGTCTTTAATTTTTTCAGTGAAAGTGCTTTATCATTCCTGAATCAAATTCAAGCATTTATTGAACCTGGCTCATGTATAGATTCAGCCAAACTGACCATTTACAAACAGTTTTTGCGTATTCTTGGTAAGATTGTGCTCTTCACATTATGTAAAATACTTTCATTTTTTATCAAATATCCCTCATTCATTTATTTGTAAATAAATAAATTTCTTTCAAAGTACAGCTCCATATTGATGGCCAAAGTGCAAAACCGCATACCTCCATCATAAGCTGTCACAAAATGTCTGCCTCTGTTTTATTTTTTCGAGTAGAAACAAGCCAATTCAAATTATAGGATGGAATTGAATTGAAATCAAGTAATGTGTCTACTTTTTCTCTGAAGCAAAAAAAAATACATAATGGATTGAAATAAATTTGAATGGTAAACGGAACTTGCTAACTCATAACAAGGCTGTTTGATCCTTTCCATGTTCCGTGTCAATTGTCTTCTCACAAGTAATCTCACTGAACTTCAACAATTTTCCTTTTTGCTCATCCAATGTAAATTGATAAGAAACTTTCATCTATTTTTAGCCGCCCATCTGAGAAGGTGTAAAGATACTCCTCGTGTTTGGAATCAAATCAAAAGTCGAATTTTCTCCAAGTTCTCAGCAAGGAAAATTAGTAACCTCACTGAACCAGGGTTGATGAATTTCTTTGCATTATTTCTCACTTTAGCTATCGCAGGAGACGCTGAAGAAGTGGTAAGTACAATAAATGAGTTACCAATAATTGTCATAATTCCAGGATAGTTGTAATGCCTCAAGCTCTCAGAGTGCATAAGTTGCATTTTCTTTTCCCAATAAAATTATCCCTGGAGATTTTGAAAAAGTAATTAGGTATCAGCGTTTTCAGTCTTCAGAACTTTTTACCTGAGACAAGGGTTTTTTTTTACATGGAAGTCTGGCTTACAAATTCTAATTCCCCTTTTGTTTTAAAAGTTTTTCATTTTGTAGTGTGGATACTATACTGCTTCCTTTTCTTAAGAATCGTATGTTCATCGTATATGGTCCATTGTCTAGACAGGAGATTCCCCATTCCATTACTCCCAAATGATCAAGAAATGAATTTTTGAAACTTTTAATGGGACTTAACTGGCAGCAGTGTATCAGTTCTGTTGGGAGCTTGATTCCATAGATCCTGTCCCTCACCTTGGGGTACTGGGGTAGATAGTACAACTCCCAAAACATGATTTTATTAAGAATTAGTTCAGCATGTTTTTTTCTTTAATTTTTTTCAGTGCAAGGTCACCAGTAGCCTAATTGGAGAGGTAGAAATTGACAGAAGAATGACTAACAGGAGGAAAGTTTTATGGAAAGGGTATCTGGCGATGGCATTGTTGACCCTAGAAAAGCAGAAGAAAGTAGAATCATTGGTCGGGCCAATGATTCAAATGATCAATGCAGACCTAGCTGTCACCGATAGTGAAAGGATGCTGTCTATTTTCTTTGAGGCATTTCAAGAAATGCTCATTGCGCCTTGTGGTCTACAATTTGGCCAGCTATCATTCATCGGTAGGATTTTTTCATATGTTCCTTTATTTTTTTTTTGTTTACTCAAAGAAACGGACTCCCTCTGTTGTTTCTTGGTTTCTCCCAAGCCTGATCTCTTCCTAAGGTGATTGGATGGACGCCATATTTTGTGTCAAAACGACATGCAATATATCGCATTGATTGTTTCTATTTACAGCTACTCGTCATTTGTCTCGAATTTTGAGATCTTAATTCTGTCGTCAGGAGACTAAAAAATTCACCCACCAATTTTGATAAACAAATACACCATAATATAGGCTTGGTTTTTTTAGAGAGAAAATATCGCATTCGAGTGCAGTTTTGATATCAGTATCAAGTGCAATATTTTTCCTATAACAAAAATGCGCCTTTATTACTTTGAATTTGTTTGTCAAAATTTGTGAATGAATTCTTAAGTCTCCTGACGACAGAATTGCCATCTCAAAATTCGAGAGCAATGACAAGTAGCTGAAAAATGGAACTAATCGATGCTACGTATCACATGCCGTTCTGACCCAAAATATGGCGTCTATCGAATCATCTATGATAAATTAAAGTTTTTTCAGATCATGGCAAGTGAATCTTTAAAAATTTGAAAAGAGTAGATAAACTCTTTTCTTTTTTTCATAGAAACTTGTGTCTCTTGTCTCTATTTTTATTTTTAGGTGTAAAAAACTAAAAGAAGTTATAAGGTAAAATTATGTGTTTTTAATTAATTTTCAGATGCTTGGGTTGAAAAATGCATTACGTCTTCTTCAGAGGTTGAGAAAAACAACCTGTTAAGCATTTGCTTTTCTGTTCTTTGCTTTTTGAATGCTGAGTTGTCTAAAGGCGTTTTCAAAATTGATTCTGGTGAGTATTTCTTCAATTAATTAAATTAAAACTATCATCCTCCCAAATGTTATGCCTAGTAGGTGTATTGGGTTTTCCCATCCATTTTGTGTATCTTATCTGTTTGTTGCGTTCATACCTGGGTCCATGTTTATTACAATCAATGAGATTAGAATTTTATTTTATAACATTTCAAAGAAGAAAACACCTCTTTCGGACAAAGTAATTGGGTACCATTTCAAAGACTTTTTTTGGAGAAAAATTTGATTTTGACCTTGAATATTGCTAATTACCGTTAGCTTTAATCATTTCAAAGTAAAACAAGAATAAATACTAACTGTAAGAGATGTATTGAATAACTGAACTGGGTACATGTATGAGGAGTAAAAAGGGTAGCACTCAGCCTAGAGAACAGCTGATCGATTAACATTGTTGTCAACACCCTGAAACTAAAAATGAATGGATAAAAAACAGTTTTGCGATGTTTGTGTTAAACTTGGACATTGAATCATGTAGACTGTGCATCCTGTGCAACGGAAGGCGTTTCAACTTTTAAATTTTTGCATGGTGCGCCGACTGATGAGTGCAGAGCGCCGACCTTGCATCGCTGAGTTCGTGTGTTCCAACCGCGCATATCTGAGCATGCGCAGTAGCAGCCCCAGTGAATTGTTGTCAGAGTGTGAGACTTTTTTTCTCAATTGGTAACTTATTGGGAAAAGTGGAACCTTGCAATTCAGCTGTACAAATATATGCTCTACAACCTATGACATTTGGAATTTTGTTTAAAAATGTACTCAAAACGAGTTATTCGCAAAAAACCGAGCGCGCTTGGGACACATGCTCTTTCCCCCTCCAAGCCCACTCATGGAGTTCTGCAAAACTTGTAACGCTTTGCCTGCATAAAACCAAGCCAGATGCATAATTCAATGTCTTTGGTGTGAAAAGAGAAAAATATCAATCCAACCGTGTTAGTCCCTAAGATTCTTTTTCTTCCTTTGAAACCTGAATTTGAAGGAATTTTTAGTTTTTGTTAAAGATAAACTGGACTTCATTTTGAGCTGAAGAACCGCTGTTTCTGGCTCACCCATAAAAGCAGATATCTGCGAAAGGAAACTAATAAGACGCATACCATTTCTAAATTAAGGCAGAAGAACAAGCAAAAATGTAGTTAAATCAATTCTCAATTTGGAGCTGCGCTAAACATCATACACAAAAAGAAGAAAGAACACAGGGCCTTTCAATACTAAGAAATGTAAATTCTGTTTGTGACCATGATTCCTTCCACTTTGTAGAATTTTTGCTCTCATGAAAATTTTTAGTAATATTCTTTGTTTTATTTTCTAAAGGAGAAGCAAAAAAAGATGTTTGGCAGTTGCAAGTGAAACTTTGGTCTCATTTGATTCCGCACTTGAAGCAACTGAGCTGTAGACCATATAGTGAAATTACTCCTCAAATCGCTGGTGAATTATTAGCTGCTTTCATCAATTTTAGTCTAATGATTGGCCTGAATGAAGTTCGAACAGAGAAAGTCAAAGCCCTTTTCAAGCATTTATTGTGCTCAGAGAGTGTTCAAATTGGGTGAGTTTACAAGTATTAATTTTTCATTACATCAGTTTTATGTTTTTATTTTTAAGGTTTATGTTTATGGTTTTATGTTTTATTATTTTTTGGTCTCATTTATGGAGATAAAAAATGTGTTGAAGCAAAGACTTGTTTTTACAACATTCTAGCAAAAAATCGCACGTCCTAGAATAGTCGGCTTGACAGTGTTCAGATGAAGTTACCTGCACTACGTTTCTGCCCTCTTACCAACGGTATGGACAAAGGTAAAATTGGGCGAGTATCTCTCCTTTCATCGAGAAATACGGGCCAGAGGGCTACAGCAAGAATTAGCAATCTCCCTCGATTGGCAACTCAGAGCACAGGATGAGAAGCAGAAAAATTATCGGACCATTCAGGGCCGTTTGATTCTTTGCGAGATTGTTTGCAATTGAAAATTTCTCTGAAAACTTACCTTGCTGTAAGGAAAATTAATATAATATATATCAACTTAAAATCCCTGCCATTGACGAAGGCTTAAAGCTCTTTGGGCAATGAAATCAGTGTTTTTTCCTTTTTTGTTTTTACTTCAGTGCTTATTTCATGTTTACCGATTTCTAGTTGTTCATTTTCTTTGCAGTGTCATGAAAGGTTATTTGAAAGAGCTGATTAAGCACGATAATGCCCTGAGGACTCTGAACACCCCTCAAATATTTGTCCAGGTTTTTGTTTTTACACATTCTCACTCCTTTTTTTCCCATTCTATTTACTCCATTTGGACTCTCAGCCTAATGGAAGATTCATCTGTTCTAAAGAGGATCTTTTATTCACCTGACCTTCCTTCACAATTAAGAGCAAGGTCTAGACAACTGAAATTTTAAGTCGCCTAAAACTGAACTGAAGGTGTTTTGTGGCACCATTGCTGTTTAAAATAACAATTATTAGGGCCAACCAAGATCATGTAGAATCAATGCCATGAATTGTTATACCTCTCTTTCACAAAATTGACCAAGGCCCAATGCATTTGGGGGGTTGCCTATGCACAATGGGTTTTATTTTAGCTGGATCATTCTTTTCCAAGTAAGCAAAATTATGCCTAAAAGGAATAAAGTATGATATTTTCCGTGATTTTGCCAAGCAAACGCTTTGAAACCTCCATGCACTCTCAAACTCAGTGAAATTAAAGCTTAAGGTATTAATTTGATTACAAATTTATCGAATAAACAAAAAAATCATCACAAATTAGACGATTCAACTGAACGATAAAACTGCATAATTGTTTTTCAGGCATGGCTCAAGTGTTCTTTTTTACATGAAGAAAGGGTATCCACAGAGCTCTCTGATGTAGCTGAATATATTCGGCTGCATCTCCCAAACAACCGACTCTTCCGAAGCTTAACTCTCTCCAAAGGAGATATTTTCATTGATTTCATCAAAGCACTTCGGTCGGAGTTCAACCTTTGTGCGGTAATACACTTGTAAATTTTTTGGAAAATCGTTTGTATAGTCATCAAGATTTCACAAATTTCAAAAGCTGTGGAGCATGCAACACTATATGTAAACTTTTCCTAGTGTTGCTTTTGCTTCAGAAAAGATTGTATGAATGTCAATACTGGGGAAAGTATCGATTCTCAGTATCCATATTGGTATCAATACTAAGCATCGATGCCGGCATCGAGCATCAAACTGAAGTATCGATGCCTTTGAGGTATTGACACTATTGATACTAATTCTAAATTATGCTGTAATTCAGAATGGGCAAATGCCCGTCAGCCGTTTGATTCCATTAGGGCCCCCTCAACAGCACCAAAATGGTTGAGCCTCGGCCGTGTTTGGCCTTCTTCATAGCCAAATCAGATTAAGTATTGATACTATCGATACTGAGGTCTGAAGATCGATACCACATGGTATCAATATCATTAAGTATAGGTGCCAAGTATCGATGAGTATCTATACTTTGGAAGTATCAGTTAAGTATGGACAACCCTAAATGTTTGACATTTTGTTATTTTCCGGACAAAGGAATGTAACTCCATTCCAAGGTTGCAAAATTAACTTTAACAATTCAGTGTTTAGAAGAATGTGCTTGTGCAATTTTTATTCAAAATTTTTCTGATTTTTACATGAGATCAGAAGAAAAATCAGTGAAATTTCCAGTTGGAATTGCCCAGGATTCTCCTGGTAAAACTGGAATTTGCGAGAGGAAATTTGACAACATCGAAATGTAGTTACGTTCTTTTGTGAAAGAAGCGACAAAATGAACAGTTGGATTATTCTGTTTCAAAGATGATAAATAAAAAAAGTCAACAAAATTCTGGGTAAATGACTCATAATAGAGAAACAAGGCTTTCATAGCGTAAGTAGCGCGTACAGCAATCTTCAACTGTGACAAAATAATGACACTGATGAGTCACCCTTTAAATAGTTTGCCTGTGAGCATTGAGTTAAATTTTTCTTATCTTCTCTTCCATTTCTTTCAACTGCACTTGTTGCGCACAAGAATTGACTTGTCTAAACTGAGACACACGAGTGAAAGAGAAGGTGTCCGAGAATCTCCTTAGCATTTTCTCGTTAGTGAAAATAAAAATTGCCTCTGGTGGTAACCATCTATTGTTAGGAATGTATTGTGAGAAGACAATGACCTTCAGCTCGAATTTTACTGCATTAATCTCTCTGATACCCTCTAAGTGTAATCTGTAACGATCATTTAAGGCCAATATCATATATTATGAAACAGTCCAAGTCAAGTATGCCGGCAGTTGTAACACAAAAGACATAAATAAGTCCATTACGAGACAGCTCAAGGTGATCCTCTGGCTACTTGCTTGACAGTTCTTCTTGCTAAAGTTTTAATCCTTGTCAGTAAATTGTTCTTTAAACATTTCACTAGTGCGGTAACTGCATGATAAATCTCTCACACTAATTCCAATTTTTCTTCCTTTCTTTCCAGTTTATTTAAATAATTTTTTGTTTTTTTAATCAGGATCCTCTAGAAAGAAAGAAGTTCTGTAATGAAGCAGCCTTCTACTTCGGAAATTTGGAAAAATGGTCATCTCAGGTCTTGAAAAATTTAACCTCTCAAAATGAAGTGCTCCGCATCCATGAGAGAGCTGGGTTCTTAGTCTCAGAAGCAGGTGCTATCTTCTATGCTCAGGTTAGACTTACAAGAATATAGCTCTTAGTAAAACACACCAATAGATGGACTTTATAAAAATGCCTATTCGTGCAGAAAAATCAATACAGATCTGTCTTTTCTCGAATAAGACCATTATAACAATTCATTCTAATTTGAAATATTGATAGATAAAGTTATACCACCCTGATCAATCTTGTCTGTGGAACAAGGTCAATATGGACCAACATGGCTTTGGGCTAGATTGAACAGTTAACAATGATTCACATATTGAAATATCCCATTGATCTTTTGTACTTCGTTAAATTTTTTGCTGATTTTTCTGTTGTTTGTTTGACTCATTATAATCCATTGTACAGTCTACATGTAAATCTCTAGGACAAAACTTCAATATTTACAGTCTCATATGATCATATATTTGCCTTTTTTGTGTCTAATCATTCAAATTTTTTGAAAACGTATTTTCTTAGGAAGTATTATTCTGATTTTGCATTCTTTATCTCAGTCAGGGACCAAAACCTTGCTTCATCGACTTCTGGAAATTTTTTTACTGCCCCCACAAGTGCGTGACCCAGCTTACGATCTTCACCCATTTGTTGCGAAGGGACTGCATCATAATTTGAATCTGTTCATTCAAGGATTGGTAAGATTAGGTGAGCTATTTCATGGTTTTTTGTTAGAAAGCAAATTCAAATAATGTAACTTGAGAGAGCAAAGAGGAGGAGAGTGTCAACCAAAGGTATGTTTCTTCTATTGTAAAGAACTTCAAAGAAAAGTTTGACATAGATCACAATAAAATCTCTTTAGCCGAACATCAATTCTTTTTCAGAGCAAAGAGAATAAGGACTAGCACTCTAAAAATATGGGTACAAGTGTGTGTGAGACTCTACGAGAATGAATTTTAATCTGCCTATTTTGGCTCCAAGTAAAGACAAAAAGCTGTGTTGGCCCACCAATATGTCGAATGGCTCAATTCTAAAGTAGTCAGATAGATCTAGATATCTTTGGTGAGATTCGTTGCTTTGTACATTTCATGCATCTGGTAGAAAATAGTTTGGCAGGTATCTAGGCACCTGGTAAAGTCCGCATCAAATAAGTTGGAAAATTTTAGAACAAGCCAGAAGATCTGGAGTTTTGCTGTGTTCTTGTTTACTTTCAATGCTAAATCAAAGATGGCAGATCTTCTGTTGCAGTCTAAAATTGTTCAAAATTAATTGATGTGGGCTCTCAGGGGATGCTGCAAACGGAGGCATAATGGAACTAGAACTTACACTCATATTGATTAGGAATGCCAATGTAATTGGATAGTAGCAAAGGAATGAAGTGATCAGAGCTCAGAAAGACTGAAAGAAGATAGAAATAATGAGGCTTGATTTACGAAGGCAAAGCTTCTTCAAGAATAAATTAAGCAGGGAAATGGCCTCGATAAATTTCTCGTTGTTTCTGTGGTTTGTCTCCAAAACATACAATCTATTTCTAATCTAATTTGGTTCTAAATCTATAATTTACCTTTTAGACGGTTAAGTGTCGATTCTGCGGATGATCCTCTGGTTGTCTATTCCAAGTTCGTAAACTTTAAGCTTAGTTGAAATTTTCTGCATACTTTTGCTCATTGTATAGTGTTCTTTCCATTTGTACAGGTGCCCCTAACGACTTGTACCTATTTAGTGCAATCAAGGACTCTCTGAGCTTATTGATGCCACGTTTAATACGAAAATCAGGTGCATTGAACGAAACGTGTACCACGTTTTCACTCCTGAAATGTTTCACCGAATGCTTAAATAATGTTGCTCCACAAGAGGACTGCTGTATCATCATATTTCAAATTGTTGTTGAAAGACTCATAAAGAAACGTTGTCGTAAAAACGAGCCTAATCACACACTTCAAGTAAGTTTTTCGTATTTTTAGATGCTTGCATAAGTATTTTGATCTTTGTGGGGTATGGGTATCAAAAAGAACATTATTCCAAAGGAAATTTGAAATATTCTGTAATATTTCAAATTACTAACAAAATAAATCCTCAAAAAGTGGAGTAAGTTTTTCCGGTAATTTGTCACTGTCTTTCTAAAGTTCAGCCGTTTTCTCTACTAAATATCATTTCACCAATTACTTGCATTTCCCATAAAATGCTATTCACCGTTAATAATGCTCTTGAGGCACTTACAATTTTATTTGTTTATAAAAATGTAAGTGTTTTTGGTACAATTTGGAAGGAGAACAACGGATGCATCCTCTAGTAAACTCCAATCTCAACGGACAAATCTTGGTATGCTTGAATCCTCAAAACCCAAGCTTGACCACATTTTCAACTTAAACATGTTTCCAGATGTCATCTTGAAAAACCTATATAACGTAATGCTAATCTTCAATTTTTTGTGCAGGCTATAGCATTTATCGCAGATGTGGCCTCTATCAACAGGAATCGGGCTCATACGGTACAGTGCATTATTGACTGTTGTCTTGAGTCTATTGCGAGCGTTGCCATGTTCTATGACAAAGGAGACCCGTGCCAAAAAAACGCAGAGCGCTTGATCAATGGGATTCTCACTATCCATATCGTCTCAACTGATCCCAATATAAGGTTAATACTTTATCCAACAATTAGTCATGCATGAATCTGGTTTGCCCATAGAGGAGCTATCCCAAAAAAATAAAAGTAAAAAGACCCCTGCCAAAAAAACGCAGAGCGCTCGATCAATGGGATTCTCACTATCCATATCGTCTCAACTGATCCCAATATAAGGTTAATGCTTTATCCTACAATTAGTCATGCAGGAATCTGGTTTGCCTGTAGAGGAGCTATCCCAAAAAAATAAAAATGATAAAGAAGTACTACTCTGTGAATGGTAGGTAGCTGTTTAACAACTTAATAGTGTTCAACAAGCACTTTAAATTGACCAGATTTATCTCTATTGTAGAGGCATTATTAGTACCTATAGACAGCTAGTTATACTAACTGACATGACAGTCAATATGCTTTGAATTACATGCTATTTACCATCTAAAAACTTTCAACGCCATTTCGTAATTCTCGTTTACTTTATTTCAGGTCGAGCGCCATGAATTTATTCTCTAAGCTTTGCAGAGACCACTTAGCTTTCTACAGTCTCAAGCTGTTCGATCTGTTTGCAATGATCGCTGGTAGAGTGCCCACATTGCTCAATCACTTCCTTCCGCAACTCATTCAACATGTTGAAACAGTTGAGAAAAAACGAGGTGTCACTTATGATAGCTCTCTCAGGTAGGAGTTTAACGCATTAATGTCTGAATGAAATGGGTAACCATAAAAATTACTGAACAGGAAATTTTCCTTTCATACGGTATCAAGTGAAGCCATAAGAATTTGATCCAACTCCTCCGCCATGCCAGAAGTGGTGACAGGTCGTTGACAAAATCTCAAAAGACAAAATCACAGATGAACTTGAGATGGACCTCCATTATTTGCCGGTCATGCTACCTTGGCCGCGTAAAAAAGGAGTGAGGAAAACAAAAAGTCTTTATTCTCTTATCAAAATTACATGATTCTTACCGCCTTAGAAAGTGCTCGATTTTAAAGTTTTTTCAAGTGCTTGACTTTTTGGAAGGTGCTTGAAAAGTGCTTGAATTTCACTACTTACTTTAGTAAGCGGTAAATGTTCATGGCTAAGAAGAAACAAAGCATTTGATGTCAAGCAGATTGTTTGGAAAGTTGTAAATTTTTTCTCTCAGACTCCAAGTTCTGACAATGACAGCAAAGCTTACCGTGTCAGTAAACTTTGAAGGAAAAAACAACAAAAAAAAACCACCAAACGAAACAAAATTATCATAATTGAAAATCCCAAAAGGAAAATAAAACTGTGAGGTGGATTCGGAGAAACCCACTTTTGTAGAAATCTTTGAACCCAATTTAAATTTCCATAGCATGAACAATGATGGTATTTCAAAACTTTTTCAGATTTTCTCTACCTATCTGAATTAAAGAGAAATTGAATAGATAAATTACCCCTCTGGACAACCCTTGTCTTTTTTGTTTACAATTTTCTGGCGAGTTCCAGAACGAATATGACACCTAAGTCAACATTTTCTTGAAGGAAAATTTAGTTTGTTTTTTTTAGGAAAGAAATATTTTGTGCTCGCAAATAATGTATAGCTAATTTTTTTCTGGCTTTTTTTTTTAAAATAATTTTTACCGTATTATTTTTGTTTTCAGAGATAAAGGAATCAAACGTATAGAGCAAATTTTATCAGGTGGCTGAAACAAGTTTTGATGGCATGAAAACCGTCATTATGTTACCATGGCAAATTGTTGCAATTACTACAATTTTTTACCTTGCTATGTGGTAAGTCTTAAAGATTTTCATATCGCCAAGACATAATTTCTACAGACGGGAAAAGCACCCAAAAACCGATGCTAAGCTGCGGAAATTTTGCTGTTGCATTAATTGTATGCTGTAGATTCGATGTGAACATTTTCAAAACTAAGAACCAAAAGAAGCTCCACCAGCTTACATTTATCTAAGCATTCATCAAGGCGTCCTGTGTAAGCCTGACTGCCACATCTTACGCTATAGACTAGATTGAGGATGAGAGTTTCATTCCCTGTGTTGTTGCACGCACACTTAAAAGAAAAGACGTCGTCATAAGGCTGAGGACCTATGCATTGCCTCAGTAAACCCCATGAAGTATTAATTCTTATATTTCTTAGCTCTTTATTTCTTTTAATCTTACTGTATCAACTTTTAAAACATTATCAACTTTTATCTAAAGAATTGTTTTTCTTTATTTTTCCAGATGATCATTAAAGCTTGGGTAGTATTTTACAACTCTTGGGGTATTTCCCACTGGATACACCTACAACTTTCATTGTGGTAAAGTCTCATATCAGCTTAAGGAGTAATTACTTAACTCTAATGAATTGTTTGAATGTTAGTAGAAAAGATAACATCATTTTGTTGGAGCAATAAAATCAAGTTACCTAGCTATTTATGTTGGTTTTCAAGTACAAATTAAGTGTAATGCTAACTTATGTTAAAAGGTTCTGATTTCCTAGGAATTTTTTAGTCACCTGGAACCTTAAATGATTTGTCTTCAATTTGTCTCTAAATCTCTAGTAATATTTTGTGCTTGTGCTCAAAATGCGAAGCACATGCGAGAATGTTAGGAAATTGTTTGAAGCTTTTAGAATACTCACATTTGATTTTGTGTTGGGCCATTTTTGTCAATTTTCAAAGCAATGTTGGGATTTATTTCTGATGGTGTCAGATACAAATGAATAATCTAGTGAGAAGAAATTTCTCGATCACTGATGTCAACCAAGCTCAGCAGTCATAATAGGAGAAGCTGGAAAAAGTAGGAGCCGCAAAAGGTTCGGAGTAGTCGGGGGCTTAGGGTTTTTAACTGACCATACTACAATTAATGATCCTGAAATATCTGGAACAATAACTTGAACAACTAATTTAGAATAATAGCTTTAAGAGGAGTTATTGGGATTCTCTGAGAAACTAGTCTTCAACGTTGATAGCTCTTGTTCTGATTTCATTGCTGATGCTTGAAATTGGATTTCAGGAGGTGATACTGCGTGATTTTAAAGTGTGGCTGGTAGTTGTAATGTTGATAGTTCTTCAGATAAGGCATGCTGAATAAGTCTTTTATTTTGAGAATTCTTGGCCTGTTCAAATCATTTGAAGACTGACTTTCTTTGATTTATTTCTGGTGATTGTTTTATTTTTCCAACCAGTTACCAAAGTGCCAGAAAAATCGGATGATTTGTCATGCTTTAGGTGTCGTTCATTTCGTCAGACATTTGATCTGTCCAGTTTTTGTATGACTAAGGAACCTTGTTCCTCAAGTGTAACAGATGGGGTCTATTGCTTTTGTTTTTTGGTTTCCACAAGAACAATGTCACCAGGTTCCTTTATTTCTGTTTTGTTGTAAACAGATCAGCTGTCTCTTGGTTCTTTAATGTTTTTTTTATTATTCATATGAATGGCCACACATCTAAAAGCATAGGAACAGGACAGAAACAGAAAACTTTAAAACACATTTTACCAAATATATTTTATCGTCAAAAACTGTAGTACCTAAGTATAGCTATAGTACCTTCACTTTTCAATTTTACAAACATTTCACTTCTAAGTAATATTGCAAATAATTTCACATTTAATTTTACAATTTACTAAAATTTCACTTGTAATTTTACATTCAATTTTACAACAAAGTAACCTTTAAGTATACAAAATATCTTTCACCAAGTGTACTAAAATAAAGTTGTTTTGGCGTAGGCAGATCGGCTCGACCAGGATGACTTGACGAAATTCCACTGACGATGTACAAAGACCATTATTCAGTTGATACGAAAGGACACAGGATTGAATTGACTGATTGACTGACAGACTTGACGGTGACCGAAAATAGGCCTTCGAGCAGGCGGCGCGGCGCGAGGGTGCGAGTCACAATTCATCGGTAAAATAGTTAAAAAAAATGTTGAAATAATCGAGAACGAACAAAGGCTAAAAATTTTATAGAAACATTATGACAAATTTAAAAACTGCGCACCTGACATCATGTTAAGTTGGTGGGAACGGACGACAAGAAGAGACGAGACGATTCAGGTGGACGCCATGCCAGTAGTATATTGAAGGGGCCGCTTCCACAGAGCCTGGGCGGTTAGGCGCACGTAGTTGCCATATTGACAGTGCTAAGGAATATGAGTGCTCTTCAAACTGGGGTTGCGTTTCCATGTTTTGACGCTCTGAAGGGTATCGCTTGTCGTATAGTTGTTTGTATATGGTGCATCCTTTGTAATTTGCTGTGTGGGGTCCTGTGCAGAGGACACAAGTGGCTTTCTCAGTCCTAGGTCTAGGGCAGTCTTCACTTTTGTGATCACCGTCACATTTGACGCACCTAGGGCTAAATTTACAGTACTTACGGGTATGCGCGTAATTTTGGCAGTTGCCACATTGTGGGATTATCTGTTTCTGCTGAGGTGGCTCAACTTTGATGGTCATTGAACACTGGTATCTGAGGTTGTAGATTTTTTTATTGTCTGGGTTTGGCTCCGGATCAACAAAGAAAACCGGAGTGGGGACTTTCTCGGTGATGACATTTTCATCGCCGTTGTCAATTGTTTTAGTCTTTAGGCATTGGAGGACTTTGCGGACCTGAAAGCCCTCTTCTTGGATTGCGGCCGATATGTCCTCCAGGGTTAAGGAGGTGTGTTGCCCCTTTAACACAACACGGTAAGCCCTTTCCGTTTTCAATTGGTACGTGAAATACTCAATATTATTGTTCATAAAGTTATTTTGTAACTTTCTGTAGCTTTCGACATCAGTCACGTTAATTCTAAGGTTTTGTCCCTCTAATTTAATTGTAAATTTACCCTTTTCAACAATTTGCAGGATTTTTTGTTCGAAATTTTTAATGGAGGTAACATTTTTGACGTAAAAAGGAGGAGGCGGAGGGTCTGTTTTGCCCTCATTGTCTTTAAGCACAGAGAAAGGGTTATTGACCCTAGTCGGAACAGGTTGGGGTTGAGTTTGCTGTATTGGGGCTGTTTTTCTAGAAACAGTCCTCTCTGTTGATGAGGAGCTCGGCATAGGGGAGTTCAGCACGGGGACTGGATTTTGCGACCAGGAGGAGGGGGGAGGTGTCCATATTCATATTTTTAAGGTTTTGAGGCGTGGGAGCGGGTCTGGGAATCTTTGAAGATGTTAAATCCTCTAATGAGGGGTCAGGCACTGCTTTCTTCAAGTTCGTTCCTCTTTTACGTGTCATGCTGGAGCACTTAAGATTTTACGACGCGAAGATTGAGAAGGGTCGTGCAGCCCTCTTGCCTGGCGTACAAGGCGGGAGGGTAGGGGGGTATCACTTGCGGCACTCGGTTCTTCGCACTATTAATGCATATGTTCTCTTGAAAATCACGAGCTGTCGCGGATTATTTGCAACGAAAGGACGAAATTAAACCAAAACCTGATAGCACGGACATTAACCCGCACTTTGATACTAAAACCACTTTGATCGGTTCAGATTGAACCGCCAAGGTTTGAATCCGCGCGGGTTGTTAGGTGCAAGGAAGTAAGACGTATTGCATACCCAAAATTTGTTCGGAGCTCCCACATGAAAAATTCGTCGGCACTTCGAGTAGTACCGTCAGCACTCGTTGTTCGTCGGTAGAGCGCCACCGTCGCTTTGTCCTCTCATTTATGTTGTTTTTTTAGGTTAGGTAATTTCAATGTGTCGTGGTGTTGAATTTTTCTTTTCACACGTTTTCGTCAATCCAAAGCTGAGTCCGCTTTGGAAACGCTAATTTTGAAAGAATGTGTCTCACTTGTTTTCTATTCCACATGTCTAAGAAGAAACAGTAGTGATGCAGCAGAAATTGCTTCACTGACTGTTGATCAATTGTGTCAACATTGGTTTTGGTGCTGAAGTCAAGGGCAGTTATTGTCTTTATTAGATTGTTTCTTATCAGTGTCAAGTGTGGTGACGTTCGTAAAACTCTTCTTTATCTTTTTATCCAACGTTTTATCAGTTTTTAAGCACAAATTTTTATGGAAGAGACTTCTACATGCTTCATTCAAAGTCTGAGATGATTTTCAGATGCATCTCAACAGATTTCAAGCAGTAAAGGAATTCAACGCATGATGCCAAACCCTAGGCTTTCTCAAACTTTTTTACTAGTATGATGAGAATTATAGTCACATTTTTCAAAGCCAATATTTAGCAATTTGCTTCAGATGGCTTTCCTAGCTCGATTGAATGTTCTGCTATCGGAGCCGCTGACACTTCCTGTAGATACTTTCAAAAGTGGGCTTTGTATAAAACTCTTTTCATCTTTCTCAGCCGATGGTTTTCTCAAAGAGGAAAGCAAAAAGGCATGTGTCGATCGGTTCCAGAAAATTAGTCATGTATTCCCAAGACCCCCGGCAGATAAACCTTTGCAAAAAGCAGCTGTGCTGGTACCAATCTGTCGACTAGAAGACGAATTAGCATTATTGTATACGTTACGTGCAATTGGTGTGAACCGTCATCGAGGTCAAGTCTCGTTTCCAGGTGGCATGTTTGACGAATCGGATCATAGTCTGGAACAAACAGCTGTAAGGGAAACAAATGAAGAACTAGGAATAAGAAAAGATCAAATTGAAATTTGGGGGAAAGGCAACACTTTTGATGTGCGGGGAATAGAGGTAACTCCTGTATTAGGTTATGTAGGTGCTGTTGACTTAGATAAATTAAGTATTAATAAGTCAGAAGTTGAGTTAGCATTTCTGGTCTCCGTCAGGCATTTGTGTGATCCAGTGAATTTTCGATACACCCAGTTTAAAGATGGATATAGCTCGCCAGTGTACCTCAAAGCAAAGTGTCGGATATGGGGAATCACAGGAGTGATAACACACTTTTTTCTCAAAGCCCTTTGCCCTGAGCAGTACAAAAATTCACTTTATTTTCTGAAACCAATTCAGAGATGATATAAACTCTCTCGAATACTTGTGAGGTTGTCATTGTCCTCTTCAATGTTCACATAAGTTATTCAAGTCATTAAATTGTTACATTTTTACTATGAAATCAGTCTGAGTTTCTAATTGTAAATGAACAAAAATTGCACTTCATTAGACATATTATTTTTGAATTAATGCCCTTGTCTTGTCACTTTTAATTTGATCATTTATTTATTCTTTTTCATGCATCCCGGTTTCTTGTGAAAAAAATTGAATTTCCTTGACTCGATCGATGTATACATAATGAGTCTTTGCTCCCTCTGGTAACTTATTGTTTGAGGCAACCTAAGTTTCATGATGAAGGAAATTTAGGCCTAAGATAGTCGAATATCAACAGGACACTTTCCACAAATTTCTTCTAATTCCATGACATCAATTATTCTTTTTAAATTTGTATTTTTATTTTTAGAGCCCATACTTAAACAGGTCTTCTGTAGAGGACGTCGATGGCAAGAAAGTGAGGTCTTTCTATTTTTTCTTCCAGTTACTTTGCACTAAAGTACCTGCTTCTTTGACCTAGCTCCTATTGTAGCTGTTCTGTTATTTATAACTTTTGACTTGTTCTTTGGCATTGAAGCTTGCCGACGTTTATTGAACTTTTTTTCTTGTCATGTTACTGTAGATAATTAATTTATCATATTTTCATCAACTGACAAGGGAAACCATAGTTCTCCTTTTTTTTTGGTTGAACTTAGTACCTTCATAACTCTTAATTTAATTAGCTCAATTTCATGTGATCTAGGCAATATTTTCTTTCCCCTCTGTATGTTTAGTTTATCCTGTGATCAAATTTTCTTTCTCGGCTGAACTTGCGACTGTAGAATTTAATAATGCCAGTGCAGCAACTTTGCTGTTTGTACCCAATGCTCCAGTCTGTCGAGAATTTTGATTCCTTGAAGAGACTCAACTTCTCCCTTGTTGTCAATAACATAAATTGTACCGACACATTGATCCCTTTCTTGCAAAGGTTAATTTATTTTTTCTTCTATTCTGCCACTAAATAAGGTAGTATTTACCCAGTTACTGTTTTATTTCAGAGCCAGAAGCAATCTCTATGCAATTCGACAAGCATTGAAAATGAGTAAAATCCTCCACCTTTATGCATGGGAGCCAAATGGTGCTTCTGAAAACGATTTTTCTGTAGCAGTCCTTTAAGCCTCTAACAACAGTTCCCAACAAAAACTTTTAAAAAATTGAGTCGCAAATTCTGTTGATAAAGAGAAACCCATTCAAATAATTTGAATTTCTCTCAGAGCAGAAGAACTTAGTACTGTATGTAGTTACCTATTTTGTACTAGACCAGTTGATCAAAGTATTGTTATGTTGCTTAAATCTTTTACGCGATAACATGATTTTAAATGATTGATCCAAGAGGAAAGAATGGAGTTTATACTTCCACCAGAGAGCCGAACTCTGCATCATGTCATGCAAAATGTTGCATACACACCATTTAGCCAAACAGATGTTTCACCAAGTGTAATTTTTACTTCATATTCTTACGTCATCTGAAAGGTTGTACCTGCTAAAGTGTCGAAAGAGCAACTTTCTATTCACAAAAGAATATTAAGTTGGCTACGTATTATCTACCTTCATTTTGCGGTAAGGCTCAAACATAAAGTCACTAATAACCTGGCCTCTGTGTGACGAAATGTAAGTCAAATGTATCACTAAAAAGTTTTGTTCTTTCTGTAAATTCTCTGTGTACTGCTAAATGACGCCCGTTTATTACTAACGTCACAGAAATCAGGACTTAATAACTTGAATTTTTGCAAACAACTTGTGACGGAATTTCGTTTTAAGTTACCATTATTTGTGATATGTACAGAAGTTCGTCAGAATGTGCCAGATATAAGATGTCAGAATGCTTTGAATTAATAGTGAAAAAGATGGAGCCCTTTGATAGCACACAAAATGTCATCATTTTTGATGTGATGCAGTAACCAAGCATTTGTAATTAAATCATTTGTTTTTAAAATCTTCTGCTTTCTCTCCCTCTTACCAGGGGCGCAGAAATGAAAGGAACTTTAAGTTTCATCCTGAAATTTGCATTTCAAATGGCCAAAAATTAAAGTGGCTTTATGAAGGCTTAATTTTTCCTTCAGAATTTTTCAAATTTTGCTTGATTTTCTGAAGTTTACAGAAGTCTCTCTGCAACCAAGTTCTCACATTTTGCACCCCTAGTTGAAACAAATTAATACTGAAAGCTCAATTAAAAAAATGTATTCGCACTGATGATATTAATGGAATTTTGAAATTTGCATGAGCTCTCATGAGTTACCCGAATGTTACTTTAATTATGAAATGTCCTAAATTCTGTCACTATTTCTGTCCAATATCCTCTTTTTTCTCTGTATATAGTAAATCTTCCTCTTATGGATTCCTCTTGCTCTGAAAGATCATGTAATAAATACTATGAATATGTGTTTTTGTTTGATAATTAGGAAGATATAGAGTGTGCGACAATTAACGTTCAGCTTCTCTTGTGTCATGATCATCATACGCGGAAAAGTTGGAAGTTGTTTTTGCTGGGTCAACTGCACCTCATATCAGGCTATAATGTATCTTTAAGCGAGTGGAAAAGTCAAGTTTTCTCTGAATAAGATGAGTTTTGTCTGCATGTGTTTACCAAGCTGTGTTCTGCACAGTATGATTTTAAATTATTTGATGTTGAATATTTTATTGAATACCCTTGCCTCAAAGCACTTGCACCGTAGCAAATTTGAAGCTTTAACTGTGTAAATAGTGCTTCAAAACATTGAAATGTCTCACAGAGAAGCAGGCGTTCATAAGACTACTAGGCAGTGGCCCTTAAAATAGCATACCAAAAACAAGAAAGAAAAGACTGTTTTGAGACTGAATGATTCCATTTTATTCAAAATCAATGCTTCAATAGTTCAAGGTAAAAGTAACATTTCTATTTCTGCAGATTCATAGTTTATATCCATTGGGTTCACTCATTTGTTTTCCGTGAACATCCCTCAATAGGGTTGTGAGGTATTCCATCCGTTGTCAATAAGTTAAGAATAATGTACCCTCTCTTGCATCATTTCTTACTGCCACTTGAATAATCAAGTAGTTTCAGTTTACCACTTTAAGAATAAGTACAGTTTTTTTGAGGGAGCACCTCTTAAAATCTGAACCTAAAGGCTATGAAAAACGTTACATTTCCATTAACTTTTCAGCGGACCTAGGCACTTGCTGAAAACTTAAACAACTTAATTACTGCCATGTACCTCGGCCTTGGCGTGGGCCTCTTGTTGTTGACTTTTATTCTTTAGTCAATTCTGACAAATTCCCAGAAATTATAGTTGTTATTTGAAAATCAAAATTTATGACACTATCCAGCTAATAAAGAAAAAAATGTAAACATGTAACATGTAGTATATTTCTCCAATCCTAAAACCTATAAATGATAGTAGCATACTAGGGCACCCGAGGACTCTTAATTTTTAAGAGTAAATGCAGTAAACCTAGGAGAGCAAAATGTAAGACATATTGCGTGAGCAAGTTCCTTGTTAGCTGGGAGAAGATGAAGAATTGAGGAACAAAGGATATTGAAAATAAACATACATCATCTGTGTGTGCTCCTCTTTTTATGTAACTAAGAAATCACCTATATCAGGATACAATGCACTCAAAAGTCTGTCAGTGGCAAAGAAAGCTCATCAAGTGAATTGTTTTTTTGTTTTTTTGTTTTTTTTTCGTGCCGAATACAACTCAGTTGTAATGATTTTTTTTCAGAGAAAGTAGTTCTTCAAGACCTCTTGAATCTTCTATGCTTTTTATTTTGTTTCCTCAATAATTTTCTTCATTTTAAATTGAAGAGATTGGCAAGAATTTTGTTTGTTCGTAAGACGACCCAACTTCGAGGTTTCAAAAGTTTATATTTTAATATCAAAAGATCAAAATTTCTAGCGAAGGGGCTCATGTTGAGAACTGAGCACTGTGTCAACTTGAACATTTTGCTTTCAACTGTACGAGATTTATGTGAAAAACATACTTTGAAATCCTCTATTCCGATCTCTGCAAGTCATGATTCTGGATTAATCCAGAAATATTACCAGGAGATCAGTATATAAGTAATATGTACCCAAGTATTTTCCATTTACCGAAGATATTGGCTGAATTTAGCGTTTTTTCTAACGTTTCCTGGAATTTTTTTTTCTTGGTGTTGAATTTAAAGAAGAGCGACTTGTGAGATGTTCACTGTCGCCGTGAACCAAGACAAAATCCATCCCCAGGGGGTCCTAGATATTATCATTATCAGCTTCCACGAATACTTTATTTAATATTACCCATGATAATTTAACATGCCCCAGATTGTTTGCGGAAACTCTTTCCATGTTCATACCCTTTACAATTTGTTCAGATGTGAACTTCATGGAAAGTTCATGAAGAAACTGTGATGGACTGTGTTTAAAATCGTATTTTTTTATTATATTTTTGTATTTATTTAGTAATTTTACCATTGTGTCAATCATCTGCTCATTTTGATTCCAACTGACCTTTGCTGTTGCTTTTATTTAAATAAAAAATTCAAAATATGTTCCCCTCAAGTTGTTCATCGTTTTTTTCAATTTATTCATTCACTCCCAGTTTCGATAAGAACCTTTGCACTTGCCTAATACTTCTCCATTTTTTTCTCCCTCTGTGATGCCGGTATGAGGTATGTCGTTTAACATTGGGATTTTAAAATAATTATTTTTATCTGAATGAAGAAGGCAACTCAGATTACTTCGGAGTACTTTTGTTCAGCAAATGTTTTCTTTGTTTCATACCTAATAAGTTTATAATATGCCTCTTATAACAAATTTTAGGGACTAGAAGTTAATATCTTATTTTGTGTATAAGAAAAAATGTATTATTATACTGAACTTTTTATGTCTGACGTATTCAGTGAAACTCCCCTGACTCTGACATCTGTTGTTCTTATGGATAATTTATTTTCGTGAATCATTCTTTAAACTCTTGAAAAGGTTTAATTGGAGGTCAAGATTTTTTGTTCCTTAATCCAACTGAGTTCAAAATATAATCCAAATCATGACATTTACAATACAGGCACAAGCCTCAAAATCCCTTGAGACAGTATTTAAAGTTCTGCTTTGTCCAAAGGTTGAATTTCTCCAAAGGTGTTGGACCCAGGCCTCGCGGTTCCATAAGAAAGATAAGTAGCAAGGATTTTATTCCCTTCACAAATTATTAATGCATACAGCTCCCCAAAAACTTAAATTTTTCAAACTTTACAACATCACTGAAAAAAATGTGAAGTTGATTTAACATTTTGGATGTTAAAAAAGTGTGCGGAAACTTACATAATGCTAAATTAACTGCTACAGCAGCTACTATAGCAATGTCAAGGTGTAAAACTGACTGCCATACAGTAGGTAATTTAGCATTTTGCGAGTTCTTGCACACTTTTTTTACATCCAGAATGTTAAATCAACTTCCCTTTTTTTTCGGTGTGCACTTTTTTCAGTAATTTAACAGTTTGATCTCTTCTCAGGTTAAATATTTCTTTTATGTATTCCAAAGATGCAGCAAAATGAAATGGTCTCACATTCTTTATCTTCGGAGGAAAATACATAATAGACCTGAAGGTTTGGAGAGGACTGCATTGGGATTGTGGATGTGAAGGCTGGTTGGTAGGTACGTTTATTTGGTGCTTTCAACAATTAAGCCATTAACACCTTAGAAGAGAGATCAAAATTTAGTACAGAATTTAAAAATTAGGGGTCACATAAAGGTAGTGCAAAATTAAAAGTTACAACAAGGAAAGAATACATTAATTTTGATGCACAATTGAAAGAAAAGTTCGTGCTCACATCAGCTCATAGCGCAGCTTCAAATCGCCCGCCATAGCCTTGCGCAAGTCCCCATATTTTCTCGATCGAGCAGTGCTGCGCTCTACTGGCTTCTACATTCCGACGGAGCGAGGCTCGTGTTCCCATCCCTTCCCTCCTCAGTTCAAGTTGTGTTTGTCAGCCATGTTGACAGCGTAACGTGTAACGTAGATTGTTTAGGAATTTCGGTTGTTAGATACAAATTTTCGGGTCAGTTTTGTGCGAAGTGCGGTTTTGAAATTATGTGAAAAGTCGACCGTTGTTTTACTGTGTGTACCTGTGTTTGTTCTGAATAATGCTCAAGTGATATAGTGCTCTTTACTTTGGATTAAATCACCAATATGAGCTGGGGGTCCGAATTATGGGTATGTCTCTTTGATTATGTCTGGCGCCTCTAGTCATTGCATAGCTTATAAGTAGCTGTACCTGCATGTTTTTCTTTAATTTAGTACCCCACACGCAGTCACGAATTGATTTTGCGGAGTCGAACTCAATTTGCGTGCGAGATTCCCTCAATTATGCAATTCCTCTTTATATAGCCTTGAGCTAACTGGAGGAATGGCAATATTGTCATATTTGCATGTACTGCAGAAGAGGCAGTGTTTCTATGGACATATCACCGACGGTCTTTAAAGAAGTTTCTTTTCAGTTAAATCTGAAGTAACAACATGAAGGGCCTTATTTGTACTTTCTAAATTCTAAGGTGAAGTTTAGCATATTCTTCGATTTCATATCATATCCCAGTGTGGGAGGTAAATACGCCAAAACCTTTATGCGGCACTTATTTTCGTTATCTTGTCACGATTTTAAAAGTTTGTTCAAATTTGATACTGCAAGTTGTTTCATCTATCTCTGAAGTAATTGTATGAGTCATATAAGCTCATTTTACAATCTAATTTTACACCCAACAACATTTTTCTACCGCACTAAGTAATCACAGAGAGATAATGAGTTTCAGGAATTTATTTAGAAATCTTCTAGCTCCAAAATCGTCCATTCATCCTCAAGGTGGTCAATGTCTAAACCAAAAAAATTGGAACAACCCTGAGTGTGCTTACACTCTCCTTTATCAAGTTCTCGAAATTTTTTTGGAATTGCTGAAGCTGTATGATGTTCCCTTCCTTTAAGACCTTTCAATCCCTTTAGATTCGTTGAAAAAGGAGCAAGTGTCCAAGAAGCTTTTATAGTAATCACTGATATTTGCCTCATCAGTGGATGACCAGCGTATTGCTTGAGATGCTGTTGTGCTAANGGGGGGGGGGGGGGGGGGGAGTAGAGCGAAATTAGGCAAGCCCCAATCTAACTCCCCAACTGAATGAAAACACATCAAAATTCTCTTGGGGCCGGGTGTTCCCGTTTTGGATAATTTTTTAGCCTCTAAGCCTCCAAGGAATAGTCATCATGGCTAGAAAGCCGAGGAGCAAGGTGTGGCAACCTTTTGGTTTAAAAAATAGTTGAGGGAATAAAAAGACAAGAGGTAAGGGAGGTGAAAAATTTCACAATTGGTAACCCTAATGAATCCCTGAAAGTTTCAACAATTTTTATGAAATGCCATGCAATTGAATTTCATAAGAATAATGAATTGTCCTCACTTTTAACTCTGCATGGGTTTATCCATGGGCTTAATGATTCCATACATGAGTGGAAATAGGGGGGGGGGGGGCTCCTTCGCCTCTATAATCCTGCCAGAAATCTACTTAGCCCCTCCTATAAAATGTAAGGGATTTTGCTAAGTACCTTAGTGCGAGACTCATCTTTCGTAATACAAAATGAAAATAATTTTTTGGCAAGAACAGCTCAAAATTCCTCCTTAGACAACTCAACTTTTCAAAATTTTCCTGGGGGAGGCTCTCCAGATCCCTTCTTTAAGCTGGGGAGGTCCCTGAACTTTCCTTGGAGTCAGGCTATTTCCTGCTTATTTATTCCCTTGTCTTTTTTACTTCACTTTCTAAGGCACGTTTTTGCAGTGATACATACATTTGTTTGCATGATTTGACATCACTTTGTATGGAAGTGGTTGTGATACAGTGTCAGCAAAACTTCCTGTGTAGATAAGTTATTTTAGAAGAGAGCATTGTAGACAGATAAATAAGATGATAGCCACTTATATGGGATTATCTCTACACAGCAAAGAAAACCATGTGAATAATTGAAGTACAAAATCACATATTTATGGCCGAAGTGCAAAACCACGTATCCCCATCGCGGTGTTTCACCATTTCCGCTTCTATTTATTTTTTTCGAACAGAAAAAGCCAACTTTACTGCATCGAATTTTTACAGAATGTTCTGCCAACGCAGCGGAAAAATTTTCGAAAAAATTGAGTTACCTAAGAATGATTTTGAGTTCCACTAGCCGGATAATTTCTCCTGCTAAAAATTGAAATTCGGAAAACAGAAATTAGTTTGTGGAAAGAGGGGTTAAAGTTTATTTTCTACACCGAGCCCCACGCAGGAATAAAACTTCAAGTCTCTTTTTCTCAATTTCAACTTAATGTGAGTTGGTTCTGATGAACTCAGTTCAAAGTATATTTAAATTTTTAAATAGGCAAATCTAATTGAGCATTGGTCGATAAACTAAAATTGTGAATGAGAGTGAGTGTCCTTTCATACCTACCGAAGTGAAGGGTTCGAGATACGGCTGAAAGGGAAAGGTGCTAACTCCGGTAAAAATGAACGCCTGTTGCCTGGGCAACCTGCCACGCGTCCCGCGATCGCCGACGAGCTCTTGTTGTTGCCTCTTACAGTCTCGCTTCAAAATTCGATTTTAAGGCCTTACTCGCGGTTAGAAGTTTCCATGTCATGTATCTTCTAGCTCACCTTTGATCTTGCTATTCCATTTTTATAGATGAACAAAGACGAAAGTACACAGGCAGCCCAATATGGAAATAGTAGAAAGAAAAACAAGGAAACATACTTAAAATTTAAAATACATAAAATTACATGGGACGTTTCGGTGCCCCACGACACCATTATCAACCGCTAAAAAGTACAAAAATAAAAAAGAAATTGAGCACTTAAAATCAAAATTTCCGGAAAGTCCGGAAGTAGTACTGGTTTTGTAAGGCCGGCCCGGAAGTACTGAAAAAGTGCGGAAATTTCGCAAGTAGGTCTGGAATGTTTTTCATTTTTTGTTATTTTTGAGCGAGAAGTTCAGGTTTTTGAAATTTTTCGAATTTCGTCCCGTGGAGGTACGGAATTTCTTGGGAAAGTACTGAAAAAGTAGTGTAAAAGTACTGATTTTTGGCCAGCCTGTTTTAGTAGGCACCCTGAACAGTTATTAAGTGCTTCGCCTTATCATGGTTTAATTACACGCGATCCATCGTTTAATTTAGTTCAATGCTCGATAAGCCGACGCATACCTTGAGACTTCACCGTGGTGAAAACCCCGTTTGACGAATTACTCAAATTCTGTGAATGAAAGTAACAGACATGCCTCGTAGCGCCGCTCGACCGCGGAAGATTCCTACAATCTGGCTCAATTCCATTCCCCTACTCGGATGCCGGTATGAATCAAACCAGATCGAGGGAATACTCCTTTTTTTTTATCAGCGTTTTAAATTCCTCTTGCAATCGAAAATTCTCAGCTCCCGAGTGTTATTTGGATCACATTTGACGCAAAGGAACCGAGTCAATAAATCACGAGTTAGTATTTTTGCCCTTTTAACAAAAGGAAGACAAAAGCACTTAAAAATAGGACGTTGAACACCTTAACATCGGAGCCACGATAGGTAAGCCGGGTATGTCTGTGAATATGACGTCACTCGTGGAATCGCCTGCCCTGGACTCGGACCAAAATTTCTGTCTCCTCTACTCTGGGGTTTACTTATTGATCCAACGTTAGGTTGCCGCTGCTCACTCTTAATTCAATGCCTTGCAAATAAATCTCGCAAGAATATCGCGAAGTCCCAAATACGCCAGCACGTGGGTATTTGTAGAAATTGTCGGCTTAAGCTGTTTGTCACGTGCAGGAAAGAACGCTTCCCTCCCATTTAGTCCACAAATAATCCGTTCATGACTTTCTTCAAATAATTTTAATCTTGAATCTTCAAATTATCATGTTTTCCTTTTTAATTTTGTCGGTAGAGTGAAAGTCTTTGATAAGATCGTTGCATAACACAAATCTCAATTCTGGCGTCGAAAAATATTTTTTTTTTTGCTTGAATGTTGCTCAGGCATTGATAAAGAAAAGAATACTTAATGAGGTCCCGTGGTAAACTTTTTGAAACGAGAAGCTCAGAACACGCAAAATCTCTCAGGCAGATTGTAAATTTCAGACTTTCTGGATTCGCTCATGTTGGCCTTGAACCATTCGTTTCAAGAATTAACTCTGTTTTTTCACTCCAGCAGAATTCCACAACAAACCTATCGAGGAATAGCCTGAAATGAGAATAGCCAAAGTTCGAAACCACGTATCTCTATTGCGGTGTTTCAAATTTGCCGCCCCTAGGTATTTAATTTTTTCGAAAAGAAATAAGCGAACTTTATAGCTTGACATTTTTACAGGATATTCTGCTAACAGAGTAGAAAAATCACGGAAGTTTCCTTTAAAAAAAACTACGTTGTCCGTTTTCCGAAATAAAAAATAATGCGTGACAGAAAGTCCGCAACGTCCTGAACGGAGATACGCAATATTCCTCTCGCACTTCAGCCACTCTGCAAACAGAGTAGAATAATCATGTAAGTTTTCAAAAAAATTAAGTTAACTATTTTCCCCAAGAAAAGACGATGTATGACAGAAAGTTCGCACCGTCCCAAACGGAGACACGTGGTTTCACACTTTGGCCATCGATGACTTATCAACGGGAATGAAAACGACTTCAGTACTTTACTGCCGTGCTAAGGGAAAACGCCGTATGAACATTCGAGAGTTGCCAAATTTCCTCTGATAAAATATTTATTTCTAAGGAGATCCGTGTATATTTTTTCTTGAAATTTTCAGGAACTTTAAGTGAAATTGCGAGCAAAATTCTCTGAAAAATTGGAAGGAAAGTAAACGTAAGTTCTCTCGAAAATTCGTGTTTTATCAACACGGAAAAAAAATTGCTGATTCAACAATTCATCTGCTAAAAACAGTGAGTGCAATGTTTTAACGCACATTTTACAACAAAAAAATGCTACCTACTTTAACCACCCCCGCGGTTAAATTAGTTTACAATGTGGTTCAAGTAGCATTTTTTTGTTGTAAAAATCTGCGTTGAAACATTTCACTCACTGTCTTTAGCAAATCAGCAATTTTTTTTCCGTGAAAAGAAATTTTGCAACGCCTGGAGGTCCGTACGGCGTTTTTCCTTAGCACGGCAGTTTATCCCGTTACAACAATGACCCTAACAAGCCTCAACAGCGCAACAGTGGTGGACGCAAGT